AAATTCTCATTGAGTACCTGTAGTATGTCTTCTTTTAAATTATTCTTGTGGGCTTCATTGGGTGCTTTGGCATAGTTTATCTTCATTTTGTTGGAGTCTGGATCTTAGTACCTGTTTTCTTCATTCCCTCTGGTTCCTGTACTAATTTTTTGCTGTGGGGAAACTGGTTTCCCTGTTTCTTCTGTCTTCCCGTCATTGTCTTTGGTGTTGTTACTGTCCCTGTACTGTGTGCAATTAAGTATTTTCTAGCTTGTAATAATAACAATGGTAATATTTAGAATGAAAGGGTGTGCTGAGATGGAAAGCAAGAAGTTAAAGAAAGGGAAAAACAAATACACAGACGGAAGGAGAAAACAGAACAAGGTATCAGACAAGAAAGATTTCAAAGGTATAAACAGGGAGCTTAGTGTACTAATCGACAGTAAGCTGAACAGACATTAGAGAGACAGAGAGAGGATTGAAAATCAAAAATAAAAAAAAGATAAGAATAAAATAAAAAATAAGTAAATGAAAGAAAAATCTATATATAAAAATATAAAATAAAATGAAAAATAGAAAATTAAAAAAAAAAAGCCAAAAAACCTCCAAGTTCAAATGCAATGAAGTTTCAGTCTTCATAATTTGGGTGTCCGTCTCAGTCTCCAATCCTGGAGATGGTGCCTCAGATGTTGTTCAGTAGTTGTCTCATCAAAGGGGACGCATAAAGAAGAACAAAACTACACACACACGCACCAGAAAAACCCCACCAAGTGTCCCAAGTTCAAATGCAATACAGTTTCAGTAAGTTTTTCAGCTTGCAGGTGTAATTCGGTTGTTCTCTCATCAAAGGTAGGGAGACAAAGAAAAAAAAAGAGTCTGGAGACAGTTCTGAGAATGGTATCTGTAAGTGTGGCTTGCTTGCCTGCTGTTGTCAGCCTGCTGTTGCTGGAGGCGTTATTTATGCAGATGTCAGGGGTGAGCTTAGCACTCACCTGGCCCTGCAGGCTTTGTTTAATCAGATTTCTCCTGTGTGTGAGCCTCTGCTACAAGCTTTCCCCTTTCCAAGCACACCAGGAAAGGTGACACTGCACCCGCGTTGTCAGGCCTGCGTGTTTATTTACAGTTCACGTGGGAGGTGGGTCTTCCCCCCTCTCCTATGCAGTTTTCCTCCTACTGCCACTTTCACAAGCTTTCCTGCTCCTGATTACTGGGTGGTGCTGCTGCTTCTGCCAGCCGCCATGTTTGTTTACAGTTCACATGGGAAGTGGGTCTTCCCTCCTCTCCTGTGGAGTTTTCCTCCCTCCGCCACTCTCACAAGCTTTCCCACTACTGGTTGCTGGGCGTGCACCCCCGCTCCCTCCAGAGGCTCTCTGGCCAGGCTGGCTTGTTTATTTACAGTTCCGGGAAGGATTCCCTTCCCCCAATCTTTGGCACTCAGTGTGTCCCACCCTCTTTCCCACATGTCTTTATTACTCTTATTGCTTATTACTGAGTTTCTCTTTTTTTCCCCGGGTGGAGGTTGGTCTGTCCAGGGGGCTGTGCTGCTCTGGCCCAGGCTTGTCTGTGGGAGTACCGCGGTACTGCAAAGCTCACCTGGTCCGCGTCTTCCCAAGCCGTCTTGGCGCTGGTGACTGGCGGCCTGGGGGCCCTCCTGGTTTCTCCATTTAACGTGAAGTGGAGATTCTCTGCTCCAGTTGGAGGTGTGGAGGGGTCAAAGTTATGCCTCTTCTCAGTGATTATGCCTGCAAAGTGTGTCTGCAGCGTCTCTCCAAGATTTCAGTATAGGAGGCTCGCTTTCTGCTTCCTCCCTCTAGCCGCCATCTTGGAATCCTCCTGTTAGGCTTTTAATTACGTTTGTGCATAGGCAGCAGACATTGTAAATATTTACTAAATAATAAGGTTGAAATTTAGCTTTTATTTTTGATTTGTGTAAATTGTTTGAAAAAAGTTAACTAGATGCAGTATGGGCTAAATGTTTGTATATTCATAGAGGGAGCATTTTCTTTCAGAAGATGTTGGGGAAACCCATTAGGCCTAGGAATATCACAGTTGCTAATTTTTTCAGTTCTCTCAAAAGCCTCTCTTGTGCTTTGTTACTGTGGATCTTCAATACTCCTGGGCAATGGAGCACATAAAGATATCAGCCAGGCTGCACACTGAAAGAGTGCAGGACCTCTAGAGGAGGTGACATGGGTCCGGTCCACAAGTGGTGGGAAATTTCATGATTGATAACATAAAGGACTAGTTATTTCTTAAAAGTCCTTCTTGCTTTGTAATAATAAAAAGTCCTGGATAAAAAGCAGAGATAAAATCTTCAGTGTTTGGTTTAGCAGGCAGAAACAGCCCTGGGAGAAATGATCAGAAACCAAGGACCTGGAGGAAGTGAGCATCCAAAGCAAGGCCTCAGCTGTCTCAAGGCTGATGGGCAGGGAATAAGGGAGGAAGCAAGAAACTGGGGTATGGGAATCGTTGGGGAAGAGGGTACAGTGCCTTCTCTGGACTGTTCTGAACTCCAGCTGCTTAATAAGCCTAAAAACCTCTTGAGGTAAAAAGTTCAGACCAAAGCGGCCAGAGGTAGCTGTTTTTCCAGTCTCCCTGGATGAAATAAAAAGAGGGCCCTGATAAGTGTCAGAATTCATTGGGCAGAATGCAGCCAAAATCATCCCACAAGGATGCCAAATGATACATAGAGGTAGAGTTGTCCTTTAGAAGTTGAGATGGACTGCTGTACCAGAGAGATATTCCATTTTTTTTTAACCTCCATTAATTCTCATAGTCAGCTATCATTCTTATCTTTGTTCTTCTGTATGAAATGTCTTTTTTCTCTGACTGCTTTCAACATTTTCTATTTGTCTTGTTTTTTTGCAGTTACACTACAATGTACCTTTGTGTGTGGGCCCCCTCTCCCCCCACTACCGCCTGTTTTGCATAAGTTACTTGCATATCTGGTGTGTGTTTTCTCCCCATATCAAACATAGCCAAGTTTGGAAAGTTTATGACTTATTTATTTATTTTTTTGTTATTTTTGGGGGCTACTATTATCTATCTGTTAAACTATTAGTGAGTTTCTGTTTATTATTTTCAAAATCTTTTCTCTTTTTAATTAGGTTGGTTAATTTTTATTGTTCTGTTTTTAAGGTGAGGATACTGTGCTTTGTTGAGTCTAATCTGTTAAATTCCATCCACGAAATGCTTTATTTTATATCTTTCAGATTTTGTATTTCTATTTGGTTTTCACTTTATATCTGACACTTTATAATGACAGTTCCCTTGTCATTACCTCTTTTATTTATCTTATACTATATATTTAAAAACATTTCTGATAATCATGCTAAATTTCTTGTTTCTTTACAGTTTTTTCCATATGATTATAATTAGTTACTGGTGGTTGTTCTTCATATAACATAATCATATTTATTATATTCTGGATGCTTTGGATATTACTTTGATTTGACTTTCAGTTCTGTTAACTCTAGTGGAGAAAGTCGAATTTTCTTCCTGTGGGTAGTTCAGTACCTGGCTGTCATTCTCAAGCCTAAGGAAGCCTGGTGCTTTGCTGTTTTATGACGGTTCATTATGATTTTGTCCTTCATCTAGGTTTCTTGTCTAATTCTAAGGGATTTAGAATCTCTTTGGGGGTTTCAGTAGAAGCCTTGACATTTTTGGGAACCTCTCCAAACACATATGTACACTTGGTTGACCTCAAACCTCAAATACTCTTGCAGCCCTGGACAACTCTAGAAATCTCTTCAGCCTTCCAGCAGTATGAAGAGACCAGACTGTTCTGAATCTCATGTGTACTCTATTAAGGAATCTGCCTAGGATTCGAGGGTGGTCTCTATTTGAGGCTAGTCCATATACACATTTTTAAATTTTCTCCCTCTCTTTCTTGTTGCTTAGGCAGGACCCAATACTAGTCTCTGACTGCAGTCTAGTAGCACTGTCTCTGTCCATGGTTAAATTGTGGCTTCCTGCTTGGCTTCCATTGTTTCAAGGGTTGTACCCATTCCACTTTTGATTGTTTTGACTGTTCTCCAGTGCCCTCAAGCAATTTTTTTTCTTAAAATATGTGTTCCAGAGTTCATGATTATTAGCAGAGGCTTATTCTGGTACATCCTAACTCTCCATTAGCAGAACTAGAATGCTTTTCACTCTGGTTCTGAATTGTATGCTGTTAGGGTGAATGAAGCCTGTCACTTTGAAGTTTCTCAGACTTCACTGCAAAACCGTACGTTTTTGACATTTCCTAGCCATTGAAAGGCTCTATGTTGTCTTCAGTTTCCTCTTAAGTTCCTTCATAACAAGTTTAGTTTAACAAAATAGCTTTAGTGCTATGAGAGCAGGGAAAAGGTACATGAAGTAGGTGAAGTTCCCACCTTCAAACACTGGTGGTGAAATGTTCACTGATTCATTGTAGTGTTTCTCAACTAGTATTTTTTTTAATATCCCTTATTTTTTAATACCATATTTACTCTCCAAAATGGTCTGTTACCTTGAGTAGTTCAGTGTTAGTGTGTTGGTACATGAGCGGTTGTTTCCTTCCTGTGTTACAGAGGGAAGAGCAGGTTCCTATGGACAGTAATGCATTGCCTGTCCATTCCTGTGTTGTTTCCTTCCTGTGTTACAGAGGGAAGAGCAGGTTCCTATGGACAGTAATGCATTGCCCAGTCACAGCAGGGGACACCTTTGTCACTGCTCCATTGGGTCCCTCTCATTGCACTTGTTCCATCAAACCTCAAGGTTTCTGTAAAGTTTTCCCCAGTGGACATTGATACTTGGCTAATTTGCTAGGTTGTCTGTGTGTGAAGTAATCAGGGAAGGTATTTAACCACCAACCCTTTTCTCGGCATTAAATTATGATGTTAAATTTATGATATTAAATTTGCTGTTTTCTGAAATGTTTTATTAATTCATTTTAAGATGCACATGCAGATTTGGAGTTTCTATAATGTAGTTCATAGTCGATGTTGGTCAGTCACATTTTTTTAAATGGTGAAAGTTAGCTGAGCGCACTTTCACAGACTTCCCAGAATCTTCTCGTCTGCCCAGGCTGCTGCTTTGGCTGTGTGTCAGTGTTTGGCTGTGGAGTCCACTCACCCTTCAAGCCCAGGTTTTGAAGACTGCAGCTCCAGTGAGGCCACAACACCAGTCTCCGTGCAGCACATTCGCCCTGCCAGGATGAAGAAGCGTAAACAGTCACCAGTTCCAGCTCTGCCTATTGTGGTACAGCTCATGGAAATGGGATTTCCTAGAAGAAACATAGAGTTTGCTCTGAAGTCACTCACTGGTGCTTCTGGGAATGCGGCTAGTCTGCCGGGTATTGCATTTTCCTTGTTGATACTAGTTTGTTTATGGGTTCCCATTCAGTGCTGTTGGTCTTCCTGATTGTACGTGTGTTTGTTCTCAGGTGTGGAGGCCTTGGTTGGGTGGCTACTTGACCACTCTGATGTCCAGGTTACAGATCTCTCGGATGCAGAAACAGTGTCTGATGAGTATTCAGATGAGGAGGTGGTAGAGGATGTGGATGATGCAGCCTACTCTGTGGTCAGTGACTTCCATGTCCTGTCTGTCTTACCCTCTGAGTTTCTCATATGTCAGTTGTCTCTCTCTCTCTTGAATGAAGCCATCATACCTCCTGTGGACTGTTCCATAAGACTTGCCTAGTTTTTTACTAGACATGAAACAAAACTGTCTGTTTTGTTACTGAAGTAATGATGTGCATTTTTTCCATCATAATTACTTCTACCTTTAAAACGGACCATTCTACAAACATCTAATGATGTTGGTTAACCATTAGAAGATATTTTATTTAAAAAAAAAATCATGTTTTGAGCCAGGCATGGTTATGCATGCTTATAGTCTCAGCAACTCTGGAGGTTGAAACAGGAGGTTTGCTTGAGCCTGGGAGTTCAAGGCCAGCCTGGCAACATCATGGGACCCAGTTTCCTTAAAAGATATACAAACATTAAAAAACAAACAGGTATTATTATGTGCACTTGAAATCCCAATTACTTGGGAGGCCAGAGTAGGAAGATTGCAGTCTTAGGCCCTACCCAAAAACCAAACCAAAGCAAAAAGGCCTGGAGGAGTAGCTCATTTAAAGGCCCCAAGCTCAAACCCTAGTACTGCCTTCCTATCCCCATTCTCCTAAAAAAACATACTAAGCATAGAGGTGCATGCCTTTGTAAATCTCAGCACTTGGAAGACTGAGGTGGAAGGATTCTGAGTTTGAGACTAGCCTGCGCTACCTAGCAAAACACTTTCTCAAAAATGATGTTTTGTACGACATGTTGATTTCTGATCTAGTAAAGTGTTTCATAGGATTTGTTTTAAAAGCCTTGAGATTTTTTTTTACAGCTTTCAAGATTCATTTTTCCCTATTGTGCTATTGCTATTAAATTTTTTACATGAAGATTTTTATAAGAAAATATAGTAGTCATACTTTCTTTAACAATTTTTACTACATTATTTCTTGATTTTGCAGTCTTCTTTCTTTTTAAGTAAGTTTATCTAGTTTGTTTTCTTTTTTTTTTATGTGTTTATCTCTTGTAGGCTACTGGTGCTGTTGTAACAGAGAGTCAGACTTACAAAAAACGAGCGGATTTCTTGAGTAATGATGATTATGCTGTGTATGTGAGAGAGAATATTCAGGTGAGTCATTGTCTTAGGCTGGAGCCTGGCTTACTTTTCCTTTGGTAATACCTGAACATCTCCCATATGCTGAGTATCTGTAGTATGCCCAGCATCAATGGACAAGAGGTCCCTGCCCTCTTGTGTGGAAGATAAGCAGACTAACCCAATAAAGCTCTGCTGTTTATTAGAAGGAGATGGGTAGCATGGAAATGAGAAAGAGATTAATGAAGGGATTAGAGTGAGGGACATGTTGGGTGGTGGTTGTGAGTAGTATTGGGAAGGTTCCTGTGTGTATGAAGATCTGCAGGGTATAAAGGGTGGCTTAATGGCTACCAGAGGAAGGCTGAGCACCCAGCCAGGTGACCACTGTGGCTGCAGCAGAGTGACCAGAGGCCAGAGGAGCAGAAAGTGGGCTGGGCAAAGGAGGTAAAGAGAACTGGAGAGCAAAGGTGGCTTGTCCACAGAGGATATGACTCAAAGATGGCATTTCTCTGTTATCCTCATTAATGATATCTTTAATACATTTTGCTTATATCATTCTCATTGCTAGCTAGCTTTTTGGGGGCTATTTATGTTTTATGTAGCCTTTTATCCACCTTCAATCCTTTCTTGTCTTGGTTCTCTCATTTCGATACATTTCAGAAAACCCCAGTAGTTCCTCATTTTATCTAAAAGTTTATCAGTATGCATTCCTGATGAAGGGTTTTATTTTGAACATAATGACATTGCTGTTATGCAGCATTTTCTATCCAAAATAAGTAGCAATTCCTTAATATCTTTTCATATCTTGTGCTTGTTTCAGGTTTTCCCAGTTTTCTAAAAAAAATGGCTCTTTATGGGTAGTTTTTTTGAGTTTAGATACCAAGAAGATTATTACAAGATTTAACTTTGAGTGGTGTGTCTCTGATGTCTCTTTAACCTATAATAATTCCTCCGCTCTTTGGTTAGGCTACCATAACAATACCATGGACTGGATGGCTTAAACCATACATATTTATTTCTCATAGTTCTGAAGACTGTAAGTCCAGAATAAAAGTATTGGATTGGCTGGTTTTTCCCAAGGGTTCTTTCTGGCTGTAGGCAGCTGCCTTCTCACTGTGTCTACACATAGAATGAGTGAGGGAAAAGCAGGAGCCAGCAAGGGAGTTCTGTTTGTCTCTTCCTTATGAGAAAAAGAACTTATCCTGTTGGGGTAGGATACCACCTTTATAACCTTATTTAACTTACTTCCTTAGAGGCTCTGTCTCCTAATGTAGCTACATTGAAGGTTAGGGCTTCAACATGAAATTTTGGGGGAACACAAATTTTCAGTGTACAACATATATTATTCTTTCCCCTGCCTCTGTGAAGTCATACATTTGTGCTAAAACTATGTCCTCTAAAGGAGTTGCATTCTTGATTTTTGTGTGACTTCCTTGTAGTATTGGCTAATACCATTTTTTTATCTAGTAAAGTACCTGTTGGGGATGGAGGGTGTTAGACTCACCAGTTTTTAAAGAGCACTGATTTCATTTAGTATAAATGATACTTGGAGCACACTCTGGGTGCTAAGCAAAATCTTCTCAAAAATAGAACAATGCTACTTATAATGGAACATTTCATCTAGGTACACTTTATTGACTTTTATGTTCTTACCTTCTATTGGACTTTAATTTCATTCTAATTTTAGGTGGGGATGATGGTTAGATGCTGTCGAACATATGAAGAAGTGTGTGAAGGCGATGTGGGCAAAGTCATCAAACTAGATCGAGATGGATTACATGACCTCAATGTACAGTGTGATTGGCAGCAGAAGGGGGGTACTTACTGGGTTCGGTATATTCATGTGGAACTTATAGGTGAGCATTTTATTTATTAAGTTCTTTCTCTTTTTCTTAGAGGTAGAGTTCCTAGAAGTGAATGCTAATTATAGGTCTTTTGCTGTTGAAATCTGTAGGCTATCCTCCACCAAGTTCTTCTTCTCACATCAAGATTGGTGATAAAGTACGGGTGAAAGCCTCTGTTACCACACCAAAATATAAATGGGGATCTGTGACTCATCAAAGTGTGGGAATTGTGAAAGGTAATATTATCTAAGCAACAAAATTCTAATTACCACCTTTTCTTCAACTCAGTTTTTTTTTTTGTTTTTGTTTTTCTTTTTTCATTTAGGGGCAAGAAAGAACAAGTATAAACAGAGCCTTATAGTGCTCTCTGGCTTGTCAGTGCCTTCTAGTCAGGGCCGTAGAGCAAGGCATTGTATCTGAAACTGTACAAAGTCATTGGCTCATATCAGTCAGGAGGATGTCTCTCTAAGAGGGTGACCAATGACAAGTAGGCTCATGTTGAGTTTTGGGGGAGGGTTTGAGGAAGCTAGGGAAAAGTCTAAGATCCAAGTATCTTAATAAATCTTACCTAGATAGCAGAAAGAATGGAGCCAAGCTGAAGTTGATTAGTAATGAAGTAGTTGTTCATATTAGCCAGGATAGGGGAAACATGGCTGTATTTGTGGTTTGGATTAGGTTTGATCTTGATGATACGTGGCTATGGAGGAATTTTGTTTTTGCCTTGATCTGTCCACCAGTCACAGTCTTACACTGGAGTTCTATTCATGTATGTAGTCTGTTGTACTGTAGGTCACCCAATGTGAATATGTCTGGCCAACTCCTAGCTTATCAGGGACTGCTTTTTTGCTTTTAATGACGTATAAAAATTTAAAACTGGATTTAAGAAGAAGCTACTGTTTTGAGGGGCAGATTGATCTTCACAAAGGACAAAAGAAGTTGTGCCATTACTAATGTTTTTATTCCCTAACATACTGAAGCACTAAATGCATTTGTTTGTATGTTTGTTTGTTTATTTATTTGTACTGGAGTTGGAACTCAGGACTTCATGCTTGCTAGGGCATGCCCTAGCGTTTTTTTTTTTTTTTCTTTAGCTACTTTTCAGATAGGGTCTCATATTTTTCCATGGGCTGGCTTGGACTGCAATCTCAAAATGACACCTCCAGCATAGCTGGGATATCAGGTGTGCACCACCACATCTAGCTTATTGGTCGAGATATGGTTTTGCTATCTTTTTTGCCTAGGCTGTCCTTGAGCCACATTCCTCCCAAGTCACTGGGATTATAGGTGTGAGCCACTGTGCCTGGTCTGTAAATGTAAATTTTTACTTTGCATAATTAAAAACTAATTAAGGTGGAAAATTATAAACATATAAAAGTAGAATATATAATGAACCTCATAACCATAATTGCTTCAACCTGTGATCTTGATTATTTTAAAGCTAGTTCCTAATGTCATATGATGTTTCATACATAAGTATCTTAGCATGTACTACTAAAAGAAGTACCACTAAAACATGAATAACTATAATATCATATGGCTAGGTGAGTTTTCATTTAAATTATAGGTTTATATGAGTGATAAAGATGTCTCAGCAGGGGAGGGAAACAACCCAAAAATATATGCACATATGAATGAATGAATAAAAAAAATAAAATAAATAAAAAAGATGTCTCAGACTGTTTCTATTCTGTCCTAGCTTTCAGTGCCAATGGGAAAGATATCATTGTAGACTTCCCTCAGCAATCTCACTGGACCGGGTTATTGTCAGAAATGGAATTGGTGCCTAGTATTCATCCTGGGGTTACGTGAGTTTTAAATTTTATGATTGCTAGATCATTTTGGGAGTGGGGGAGAAAGGGTTTTCTTTTGAACTAAGTTTAATAAATGACCTCATCTTTTACTTAACTCAGTGGCTATTTTAAAAATAGGTTGTGATGGTTGTCAAATGTTTCCCTATCAATGGATCGAGATTCAAAATGCAGAATGATGATGACTATGATTTTTGTATGAACATGTTTCAAGACCAGAAGAAAACACAACACCAGGCATACCTTCTTTGGCAGAATAAATGAACCAGGTAGGGAAGGAATGGTTATGTTCTCTCTTCCATTTGAAATATTAGATGTAGGAAATAATTTACTGTGGCCACCACTGTATTAGAGTCTGACTCTTCTTAGGTTCATATGAACTGAGTGAACACTGTACAGGAGCACATTAACACAAAGGGACAATCTACAGTGCACAAAAGTCTTATTTAATAGAATCTGATTTCTCGTTTTGAGTGGCTTCCATTTGGTGTCCCATCCTTTACTTTTGTTTATTTATTTTTTTCATCAATTTAAGCAATTCATTTGCCAGATTCAAGCGTCAGAACCTGGCTCCGTATTTTCTTTCTAGGAATTTTGTAATTTTAGTGCTTTAAAGTTTTACCTCGATCAACTGGGGGGTAGGCTCACACGGTAATTCTACGCTACTTGGGAAGCAGAGATCAGGAGTCACCAGGTGGAGGTCAGCCTGGGCAAGCAGTTAGCAAGAGTTTATCTGAGCCAATAAAAAGATGGAGATGGCTGGGGCTACCTGTTCACCCAGCTATTTGGTAATTACAAATAGGCCTGATCAAACGTCCAGGCTGGCGTGGAACGACAAAGTGAGACCCTGTTTAAAAGATAACTCCAAGCAAAGAAAGGCTGGTAGTTTGGACTCTAACATGTGATTAGAGTGTTTGCCTAGCAAGTGGAGGACCCTGAGTTTCAAACTCCAGTATTCCGAATACCTCCAAAAAAGAAAAAACTGTTAACTCCTGGTTCATTTGTGTTTGTTATTTTAATACCATGTTGTGTTGTTAGAATTGAACCCAGAGCCTAGGAAATTGATCTACCCACTAACCTTATACTCAGCTGGAGTTAATTTTTCTAGTGTCCAAACATATCATTCTTTTGCATGGGTATATCCAATTTTCTAGCACCAGTGATTGAACAAGGTCCTTTTTCCCATATGAATGGATCAATTACTATGAAAATCAGTTGAACGTAGATATGCGGGATTTATCGAGGCTTTCAGTCTAATTGATTAGTCGGCGTTCTTTGTCTACCCTTAGCCAATACCACACCATTGTGATACTGTGATTATGATAACTTTGGAGGAAATTTAAAAGTCATGTTTCAAGGTTGTTTTGGCTACTTGTATCTCTTTGAACATTCCATATGAATTTTGGGATGAATTTTTCACTTCTGTTAAAAAAAAAAGAAAGTCTTTGGAATTTTCATGAAATATTATATGGAATCTGTGCTTTCAGCAAGATTTAACAATATTAAGTCGTCCAAGGTTGTTTTAGGATATCTTTCCATTTGTCTAAGTCGTTCGTTAGTTTTTCTTCCACATGTTTTTAAATTTTCAGTGTACAAGTCTTACACTTCTGATTAAATTATTCCTAAGCATTTTGTTCATTCTAGTTCCAAATGATTTTATAATTTCTTTTTTGGAAAGTATTTGTTGCTAGAGAGCATAGGAAAAAAAAACTGATTTTTGTGTAAATTTCAGCAGGGTTGCCTTTATTGGTGTGTGTGTGTGTGTGCTGTGTGTGTGTGTCGTTGTTTCAGTTTTCTATATTACAATAATGTTCATCTGCAAATAGGGAAAGTTTCATTTCCTCCTTTTCAATTAAAATGCCTGTGTTTCTTTTTTTCTTCAATTTAAAAAAAACCTATTGCTTTGAGTAGATTGTCTTCCTTCTTATCTTTGGGAAAGGCTTTCTATCATGTAGCTGTGGTTTTCATGTATGACTTTTATCATGTGGAAGTTCTTTTCTCTTCCGAGTTTGTAATGTTCTCTACCTTTTGGAGGAGATCTGTACAATCTGTAGAGCTGTCTCCCTTTCAAGCCTAATCTTGGATTCTCTTTCTCTCTCAATCCCTTTCTTCCTAACCTCCCCCTTCTTTTCTTTTTTCTTTCAGTCTGTCATGGTTTATCAATTTAATCAGTTTTTCAAAAAACCAACTTTTTAGCTTTGGTTTGTATCTTTCCATTTTTAGGATTACAGATTTTATTTTTTGCCCAGTGCGATAACTCATAGCTTTCTATTAATTTCCAACTGTTACCTTTCTGACATAACTTCTGACCTATTGTATTCCTACAAGATTATGCTCTACGTACATAACTACGTGATTTCATATCACTTCGTTCTACAGATAGATTTAAATTTCCATTGCGAAATGTTATTTTCTCTGCCATCAAGTTTTCAAAACACCATCGATCTTCTTCTCTCTCACTTCTTTTTGGTTTTGTCCTGGAGCGGTTTGAAATTCTGGCAGCCTTTTCTCCATTTTTTCTTTTGGCGCCTGATAAACCCAGAGTGCTCTTTCATTGTTTAGTTCTTCCTTTAATGGCTTAAAGTAGTTATATACATTTTTTTTTCTTTTTTTGGTACTGGGTCTTGATCTCAGGGGCCTATACCTTGAGCCACTCCATCAGTCCTTATTTATGATGGGTTTTTTCAAGATTGGGTTTCGTGAACTATTTGCCTAGGCTGGCTTTGAACTGCGATCCTCCTGATCTCTGCTCCTGAGTAGCTAGGATTACAGGCATGAGCCACTGGCACCTCGGCTTACATACATCTTTAAGTTTTATATTATATGGGACTATAGGTTATATACTTTTTAGTATTATTTATTACTTGATATGACAGGTTTTACTTACAAAATCTAATATTGTTTAATATTTGTATCTTTCTTCTAAACAGTGCAAAAACTTTAACTCTCTTTAACGATTGATTACCCCCATTTGGAAAATTCTCCATTGTTCAGTATTTTTTCACATATTACCTCTGTCATTTTTTTTTTTTTTTTTGATTGGTTGGTTTTTTCTTGGGGACGGGTCTTTTCTTTCACCTATATTTGACTTTATCTCCATCTCGCAAGTCTTTTTACCTCCACAATTATGTTTTCTAAACTGGTTGCTCCTCAGTTCTTCATTCTAGATAATTTACCGAGTCTTCTGGTGAGTCCAGTCTGTTGTAAACCTGCTCATTAAGTTTTTAATTTTAGTTATTACATTAATTGTTCTCCTTTTTTTTTTTCTTTTCAGTAGTTTTTGCTTCCCTATGGAAATGTTTGATATTTTCTTGCCTTTTGGAACTCAGTAAACATAATTAGCCGGGTGCCGATGGGTCATACTTGCAATCCTAGCTCCTCAGGAGGCAGAGATCGGGAGGGTTGCAGTTGATGCCAGCCAGGGCAAATTGTTCATGAGATCCTATCTTGGAAAAACCCATCACAAAAAAGAGCTGGTGGAGTGGCTCAAGGTGTAGACCCTGAGTTTAAACCCTCATACTGCAAAAAAGAAAAGAAATCAATAAAGACCCCACAGATTTCAGAAGCATATAGGGGAATACTAGGAACAATTCTACATTCATAAATTTGACAATTTATATGAAATGAACTAATTTCCTTAAAAGTTGTATATTACCAAACTCACTCAGGAAGAAATAGATAAGCTGGGCTACAGTGGCTCATGCCTGTAGTCCTAACCACTCAGGAGGCAGAGATCAGGAGATTTGATGTTCAAAGCCAGCCACGGGCAAATAGTTCCAAAGACCTTATCTCAAAAATACAAAACACACACAAATAAAAAGGGCTGTCGGCACTGCACGCTAGCAGCTCATGGCTGCAATCCTAGCAACTCAGGAGGCAGAGATCAGAAGGATTGCAGTTCCAACACAACGTACCATTGTGTTCTAAACATTGTATTTTCAAAAGTATTTCTTGAATCAATTTGAGGCTGATGTTGTCTTTCACCAGCAAATGGGGAAGAGAGTGTTGTTCTGACAGGTTTTTGGGAGAAGTACCTATCTGAGATGATTTCATGCTGAGTTACAATTCATTAAACAAATAAGCAGTTTGTCCTCAACCAAATCTTAACTTCATATTTCTTGTTGGGATTTCACATACATGTTGATTTTCATGGGCGTCTTTGACCCTTTCTTGTCTTTTCTGGACCCCAGTTTGTTTCCCTTTCTACTTCTGATCCTTTCAGAAGTATCGTGTGTCTTGTCATTTCTGAGCTACATTATCCCAGCCCCTCCAGCATTTTTAATACATATGTTTTCTTTGAGATCTGTTACTAAACTTTTCCTATAAATTACTTGTTTCCATTTTGATTAGAAATATATTTCTAGCTATTACCTGAGAAACTAAGTAGAATAAATTGTACAGACTTCTTAAGAGAAGTGTTGAATATCTTGAGTAGATTTTTTTTGAAGCTGTTTTAATACTAACTAGTTCCTTTTAATTTAAAAACATTCTTTTTTTAAATAAAGTTAGAAGTTTATCACTGGGTATTATTGATTTCTCTTTTTAACCATGTGAAATAGGACAGTCTGCAGTATTTTGTGGCCGTTCTGGAAAACAGCTGAAGCGTTGTCATAGCAGTCAGCCTGGGATGCTGCTAGACAGCTGGTCCCGCATGGTGAAGAGTCTGAATGTGTCATCTTCAGTGAACCAGGCTTCTCGTCTGATTGATGGCAGTGAGCCCTGCTGGCAATCATCTGGGTCACAAGGAAAGGTAGTGTGCCATGGGGTCCATCAGAAAGTGCTTTCATTTAGGGGGATTTGCATTTTTGATTTTCAAAATAAACTTTGAAGAACCTAGAGTCTTGCTAACGGCATCTGTCTATACTCATTTTATATTTCAGTTCATAAGTTACTTTAAAATGACAGACCAGTAGGTCATCTACTTCTTATTGTCAGATAATTTGAACAGCGTGAATAGCAGATATTATGTAACTGACCAGTTACTAAAACGTGTAGCAGAGGTTTTGTTTTCCTTTCTTATGTGAAATATATGAATTCTGATTCTACTTCTGATTAAAAGTTTTCTTAATAGCATGACATAGCTCTGTGTAGAGAGTCTTTTTGCTAGCACTGATATATGGGTGTGTACCTCATGTGGCCACACAGGACAGAGTTGGGGAGAAGACCATTTTCTTCATTTTCACTGTAGTGTTCTGTGTCACTCACTCTTGGTGGTATAAAAGCACCACCCTTGGTCAGAAGTCTAAAATGTGCCATTTCTAGGGCTTAGAATGAGACTTTTCTCTAATGAACAAGTGATGAAGAGGGATACTCCTGTATCTGCCAGGGTAGGAGAAAATTCTCTCATGCCATATTTTGTGTTTCAAACTCTCGTAAAGATTCAGGCTCCATTGAAACAATTTTAGTAGCTAAAATATAGCTAAATTTTGCTAACTGAAAATATGTTTTATTTTTTTAAAGCATTGGATTCGTTTGGAGATTTTCCCAGATGTTCTTGTTCATAGATTGAAAATGATAGTAGATCCTGCTGACAGTAGCTACATGCCTTCCCTGGTTGTAGTGTCAGGTAATTGAATTCATTTACTCAAAAAGTAGTGTCTCCTAGCTGTTAGTAAACTTCTTTGTCTGATTCTTTCACCTTTTTCCTAGGTGGAAATTCTAAACAACCTAATTGAACTAAAGACAATCAATATCAACCCCACTGACACTACAGTACCCCTTCTGAATGACTGCACAGAGGTAAGTAGCAGAGGTCATGCACCTTTGGAGTGATTCATAAATGACAAAGGAATAACTTGGGTATTTCTGGTAATAGTATTGAGCCCTGTTTTTCTCGCCTCTTAATTAAATAACAACATACTTGTTTTAAAATTTGACATTATTCAATATCTTGTTCTATATAACTTGAATTTGCAGTTATTAAATCAGCTTGAAAGGGAAATAAAATAGATTTCATTCCCACTATCTTTGATAACTAGCATGGTTAAGTACTACTAGCAAGTCATTAGGCATTTGAAGTTGCTGGTTGTAATTGCATTTTTTTTTCATTAAATATCTTTTTGTTGAGGTGTTTTTTCTGACTATATATGCAGCATTGAAGTTTTTTATTTCTTGGTGTCACATCCTTTCACAATTGGCAATAAAGTAACTTTCAGAATAAATCCAAATTTATTGTGGGCTGCTAAAAATTCTGAAACATCATTGAGGGTTCTTTAAAATGGAAACACTACAGATTGCTGAGATTCTTTCAAATCCTCTAGCAAATCTTTCCACACAGGATACATACACTATTCTAATGAATTCAGTATTCTTAAAACAAATTAAGACAGCTTTCTTTTCTGTTGTTTTGTGAGGACTAGTTCACTTGGTACAATTATAGTAGATATCAAGCATTTAATTTTTTATAGTCATTCAGAGTTTATTATAGATAAAGAATACTTTTTTATTGTGATATATTTGTTATATAGAGGAGATTCATTGTGACAATTCCAATAGGCTTATATTGTACCTTGATTAGATCATCCCACTGTCTTCTGCACTCAACCCCCTCCCTGCCCCACTTAGAACATTTGCAAGAAGTTTCTTGGACTATTTCATGTAGGTATATGAAGTCCATCCACAATATACCCTTCCCTTAATCTCCTTCATTCACCCTCCCCCCTTTCACAAGGACCCTCCCCTCCCCACACACAGTACCTATTTTACAGCCCTGTCTTTTGTTTTAAGTTATTAAATGAAGCTTGCCATTTCTTCTTCTTTTTGTTTGTTTTTTTCCTTTCAGTGCTGGGGGTCAAACCGGGGGTCTTGAGAATGCTAGGCAAGTACTCTACTACTGAACTACAGTCTCAGCTCTACTGTTCTCTTTGCTAGCTTTATTTTTTTTAATTGACAAATAATAATTGTATATATTTAAATGATATTTTATAAGTATTTTATTTTTGTAGTATGATACTTCATTACATGTATCATTGTGATCAAATCAGCCTAATTAATGTATTTGTCACCTCAAATATTTGTCATTTCTTTGTGGTGAGAATATTTAAAATCCTTTCTTTTGGCTAATTTGAAATATACAGTGCATTATTCATTATAGTTACTGTTCATTCTTGAATATCTTTTTTTTTTTTTTTTTTTTTTGACCTTGAACTTTTTTATGGGATTTTTTTTTTTTCATTCTTGAATATCATTGAACTATTTTTTGATAAACTGATTAATTAATAATTAGTACCAATGCTGTCAATACCTTGCATTATAAATATGAAAGATAACATTGGTTTTTCTTTCTGAGAAGAAAATAATAGTGTGTTTTACTGTCAGTGTATAGCTAGGTAACTGAGTACACCTTATAGAGTATCTCAGTTATAGCTCAGAGTTGGTTAAATCAACTAATGTTATTCATAAGAGTTGTATTTGGCTTAACCCAAGAAATTTTCAGTTCAAAAGAATTATTCTGTAATGTTTGACATGTACAAAATAATGTAGATCATGTATATAAGAATTGTAAAATATTGTGAGTAAATGGAAAACTCAAGACACATCCTCTTTCCCCACAGTCAACTAAAGAACCAGAACATAACATTCTTGTGGAGCTGGTGGGATCATCAGCATGGCCTTTTCTAATCAGATGGCTTGCTACAGGAATTCCATAATGTATAACCAAAAAAAAAAAATTTTTTTTTGAAACTTGCACGGGCCCATCACCAGCCTCCACATTTATTAACATTTTGCCAGTTATGTTCCATTCTTTCCCTCCCACTTCATTTCCCTCCCCCATCAGGTCCTATTCATGGTCTTATTTCAGTAACATGAACTTCAGTATTCATCTCTAACAAGGACTTACATCTCTTTCTCTCTCTTCCTTTAATATAACCCAACAATTACCTTTTAATATTATATAATATCCAGTCAGGGTTCCAGTTTTCTGAGTTATCCTATAAATGAATTGACTCTTGGTTTAAACAATGTGTGTATTTTGCACTACATTTAAATCTTAGCTGTCTTGGATTTTCCTTGTTAAAGAGGAAACAAACAAAACAAAACTAGGTCATTTTTTCCTGTAGCATTGTTTATATTCTAAACTTGGCTTTTACATCTCCATAGTGTTGTTCAATTACCTATTTCATGTGAAATAGGTACATCTTGTCCAGGTTAGACAATTAAAAGTAGTTGTTAGTGCTGTGTGCTTTCTGCTGCATTACTTTGTCCCCATGTAATGCAGGGATAAAGAGATAGAAAAATGTTCTAGGTGACATAGGAGCTATGACAATATTAATGTGGATATGATTTTTGAAAAAGTCCTTAATTCAGTGATATTTCGAAAGAACATAATCCCTATAATTTTCTTATGATAATCCCTGTGTGAAAAAGATTCATCATGTTGATAATTGTTTAAGTATGTTGTTATGGAGTTCTTTGTGCATTTGCTTTAATTCCTGTATATTCAGATACTTGTTATCTTTCAAAATTATGAGGGCTCTGTGACTATTTGACATTCAATTTCTTTTCATACACAGCACATCTTAGTTCAAGAGGCTCTAAGAGAGAAAGGTTTGCCATTCAATTAGGATCTCATCCTCTTTAATCTTACTAAGAAAACTAGTAAGCTCAATCCTTGAGTAGACACAGTTAACGAGTTAATAACTATTCCTCTTCCTCCCCCATTCCCTCCCCTTCCTCCTCCTCCTCCTCCTCTTCTTCTTCTTTCTTCTTTCTTTCCTCCTCCTCCCTCTTCCTCCTCCCTCTTCCTCCTCCCCTTCCTTCTTCTTTCCTCCTTCTTCCATGCCCTTGCTAGGTAGGCACTCTTACCAATTAAGCCACACCTCAGTCCTTTTGCTTTTAGTTTTTCAGATAGAGTCTCAAGATAACTTTGCTCCAGGCTGGCCTTGAACCACTGTCCTCCTACCTCTGTTCCCAAGTAGTTGAGATTATGGGTATGTATTACCATACCCAGCCTCAGTAACTTCTTTTGAAGGCAAACATTAGTTGTAACTACATTAACTTTGGTAATTCACTTGATATTTCCAGAATTTAAGAAAAGAAACTCTAACTTACCACATATACCACTTTTCACATATTTCTGATGTCTCTTCAACAAAAGTGCCTGATGTCTTTGAGTCTGAAAAATCTGTAGCTCATTGTTTTATCATCTAGTATCACAGGTACATTGAAATTGCAATAAAGCAGTGCAGAAGCTCAGGAATTGATTGTAAGATCCATGGCCTCGTTCTCCTGGGTCGGATCAGGGCAGAGGAGGAAGATCTGGCTGCAGTTCCTTTCCTGGCTTCAGATAATGAAGAAGAGGAAGATGACAAGGGCAGCAGTGGAAGGTGAGAGTCATTTGTGACTGGTGTTCACTTATCTTCTGTTGTATTCTAAAATTCTTACTCCTGAAATTAAATATTAGAGTATATCTCATAAAAGAATAGCTTCAAGACAGCAAGAATGATAAAATTTTAGTTGAGTTTCCAAAACTAATTTAATTTTTAAGAAAATAAATTGGCTGGGTGCCTATGACTCACGCCTGTAATCCTAGCTATTTAGGAGGCAGAGATCAGGAGGATCGTGGTTTGAAGCCAGCCCCAGGCAAATAGTTTGTGAGACCCTATCTCAAAAATACCCATCACAAAAAAGGGCTGGCAGAGTGGCTCAAGGTGAAGGCCCTGAATTCAAGTTCCAGTACTGTCAAAAAAAAAAGAAAAAGAAAAAGAAAATAAATTGTAGGAATATATATATTTGGGAAAATATCACTAAAAGAATGAAAATAATATGATTAATTTTTTTACCTGAACTATCACTTACTGCTTTGTTATAATGTCCTTGTGGGGACTGGCAGCACAGCCAAGTGGTAGAGCATTTACCTAGCAAGTGCAAGGCCCTGAGTTCAATTTCCAGTACTACAAAAAAAGGGAAAATGTCTTTGTAGCTTTCCTTTTCATCTGTCTCTTAATATATTTTCCTGTGGAAATAGTATGGTATGTTTTATAGCTTTTTTTGTTGTTAAGTATTTTAAAATTAACTTTAAATTTTATTTGTATTTTTACTATAGTAAAAAATGCACAACATAACTTTATAATTTCAACAATTTTAAGTGTGTGTTTCACTGGCATTAAGTACATTCACATTCTTGTGCAGCTGCCTTTAGAGTATCTATCATTCGTCTCCTGTATGTAATTTTGGAGTGTATCATCTTATGACTATATTCCTCACTTTGTATTAGTGCGGTGGTGATGACTATTATTGTATTTATGCATCCAACACATATTTATGGAGTACCACTGTTGGTCAGTCCTGTGGTGAACATGTAGAATGAAACCAGACAAACTCACACACATCAGTGAGGTTACAGTTCTTGCTGCCTTGAGTGAGTGGAAAATTGTCCCCAGACCATACTTACAGGAAGAGTCAGCATTTTTAAAGTAGAGTGGGCAGGAAGGGTGTACCTGGAATGGCAGCAGCGTATGCCAGCAGAGAAAGATAATCTGCCATTTGCTCGTTTATTTCAGGATACACTTGTGCAGTGGCTGCTTTTGGTCCCATTTACTGTCTCAGCAGCAAACAATGTAGGTAGTTGCTGTCCTTATAAGTTGTGTTTTCCTAGATAAATTGGCTGCATGTGAAACTGTTAAAAGGTATGCAGAATAAATTGCTATGTTTTCAACATTTCCAAGGCACTGTTGGATTGCTAGTGTCAAGGCCCTGTGGATGGGCAAGTTGCCAGTGCCATCTGAACTCTGTTAGCCAAACACCCTTTATTCTGTCTTTCCAATATGTGACAGAAGGAGTCATAATAGTTCTGCCTGTACTTCTGTTAAGCACATTCTTAATCATGAATGGGCAGCAACCACAGTAATAGGTCAGATTATTCTTAGGGTCTGTGGTCTTGGCTTTGGTTTCTGTCCCATTTTGTTTCAAAACTTGTGCATTGAAGTTGAAAAGAAATGTATTATGACACTACTTTATCTACAATATATATATTAGGCTATATGTTATAATTCTGACTGGTCATGTCTACATATGTTAATTTAGTTGAGGAAAATACCAGTTTATTTAAATAAGGAAGTCAATGAGAATTTTTTTTTTTTCATCTGATACTGAGTCTCGCTACATAACTCAGTCTGACTTCAAACGCCTGACTCTCCTGCCTTGGCCTCTCAAGTGCATAAGCCACCAAACCTGGCTGAGCATTGGAATTTTTGAGTGAAAAAATTGCAGGTTATCATGTTCTCAGTTAACCTTTGAAATGAATTGAGCAAATATAATTAACATATGTACTATAGGTGTGAAATAACCATAAAATTTTGAGCTCACTTATTGATCAGAGTTTGCATAGTTGAATATATTAGTAAAAGAAAATCTAGATATTAGAATGTGGCTTTTTTTATTCCTGTAAGATGTCATTAACTAGCTAATCATTTCAGGATGAGTCAGTAGTTTAAGCAGTCTCGCAGGGCTGGCACCCATATTACGTGATGTGTCCACAGTGACTTATATTCAACTGACCTCCGTTCTGACTGGTTGATACTTATATGGTATCAGCCATTAAATATTCTAAATACTATTCCTGGTTTCCCAGCCATATTTTTGACTGACAGTGTGTTACAAGATATTTAAAATGTCATGTACATAACTTTGCACTCCTCTATCTGGTATCAAAGAAGGAATTTTTCTCAGATTTCAGAAAAAACTAAATTTTGATCCTTTAAATATTTATAAGTATATAACATTTTTTTTCTTCTCTGATTTTTTTGTTGTTTATTCATTTATTCATATGTGCAGACATTGTTTAAGCCATCTCTCACCCCTCATCACCCATCCCCTCCCTCTCCCCTCCACTCCCTTGCTTCCAGGCAGAACCTGTTCTGCCCTCTTCTCAAATTTGGTTGAAGAGAAAACATAAGAGATAATAAAAAACACATAGAATTTTTGCTACCTTGAGATAAGATAGCTATACAGAGAGATTCCTAGCATTGCTTCCATGCACGTATGTATTACAACCCGAATTGGTTCATCTCTATCAGATCTCTTCACTACTTCCTGGTCACTTTCCCATAGTGGCCTCTGTCAGTTTAAGATTACTTTATTCACTCCTGTACAATGGGCACATCAAACACTTTCAAGTTTTAGGTTTCCTTCCCTTTCCCTATTCCTCCTGATTGTGTAATTCCCTTACTATGTGACCCATATCCAATTATATTACCTCATTTGTTCTAGTCTAAAGTCCACATATGAGGGAGAGCATATGATTTTTGACCTTCTGACCCTGGCTAACTTCACTTAAGATGATACTCTCCAGTTCCATCCATTTACTTTCCAATGACAAAATTTCATTCTTCTTTGTGGCTGAGTAAAATTCCATTGTGTGTAAATACCACATTTTCTTAATCCACTCATCATTAGTGGGGCATCTTGGCTGTTTCCATAACTTGGCTGTTGTGAATAGTGCTGCAATAAACATGGGTATGCAGGTGCCTTTGGAATAACCTGAGTCACATTCCTTCAGGTATATCCCTAGGAGTGGTATTCCTGGATCATATGACATATCTATGTTTAGTTTTTTAATTTTTTTCTTTTATTCATATGTGCATACAATGTTTGGGTCATTTCTCCACCCTTCCCCCCACCCCCTCCCTCTCAGCCCCTACCCCCTTGCTACAAGGCAGAAACTATTTTGCCCTTATCTCTAATTGTGTTGAAGAGAGAGTATAAGCAATAATAGGAAGGACCAAGGGTTTTTGCTAGTTGAGATAAGCATAGCTATACAGAGTGGAGGGAGGTGGGGGAGAAGTGACCCAAACATTGTATGCACATATGAATTAAAAAAAAAAAAGGATAGCTATACAGGGAGTTGACTCACATTGCTTTCCTGTACATGTGTATTACCTTCTAAATTCTTCTATGTTTAGTTTTTTAAGAAGCCTCCATATTGTTTTCAAACTGGTTGTACTAGCTTACATTTCCCCCCAGCAGCGTATGAGGGTCCCTTTTTCTCCGCATACTCGCCAACATTTGTTGTTAGAGGTGTTTTTGATGATAACTATTCTAACAGGAGTGAGGTGGAATCTTAGTGTGGTTTTGGTTTGCATTTATTTTATAGCCAGGGATGGTGAGAATTTTTTTCATGTTTTTTGGCCATTTCAGTTTCTTCCTATGAAAAAGTTCGTTTTAGTTCAGTTGCTCACTTCTTTACTGGTTCATTGATTTGGGGGGAGTTTAGTTTTTTGAGTTCCCTGAATATTCTGATTGTCAGTCCTGTGTCTTATGTATAGCCAGTGAATATTTTCTCCCACTCTGTGGGTGGTCTCTTCAGTTTAGAGACCATTTCTTTTCTTGTGCAGAAGGTTCTGAAATTCATGTAGTCTCATTTGTCCATCCTTTCTCTTAATTGCTGGGCTGCTGGAGTTCTATTGGGGAAGTCCTTGCTTACACCTGTTGCTTCCAGAGTATTTCCTGCTCTTTCCTGTACTAACTTCAGAGTTTCAGGTCTGATATTAAGGTCCTTAATCCACTTTGAGTTGATACTAGTTCAGGGTGACAGGCATGGGTCCAGTTTCAGTTGTTTGCAGAAAGATAACCACTTTTCCCACCAACATTTGCTGAAGAGCCTGTCTATTCTCCATTGTATGTTTTTGGTGCCTTTGTAAAAAGTAAGGTGGGCATAGCTGTGCAAATTCATATCTGGGTCCTCTGTTCTGTTCCACTGGTCTTCATGTCTGTTTTTGTGCCAGTACCACACTGTTTTTATTGCTATTGCCTTGTTTGAAGTCAGGTATTGTGATACCTCCGGCATTGCTCTTTTTGCTGAGTATTGCCTTGGCTATGCATGGTCTCTTGTGTTTCCAAATGAACATTAGGGTAGATATTTCAATCTCTGTGATGAATGTCATTGGGATTTTGATGGGAATTGCATTGAATATGTAGTTTGCTTTTTATAGTACATCCATTTTTTACTATGTTGATTCTACCAATCCATGACACAGGAGATCTTTCCACCTTTTATAGTCTTCCTCAATCTTCAGGGGGTTTGTAGTTCTCCTTGTAGAGGTCATTCACATCCTTTGTTAAGTTTACTCCTAGGTATTTGATTTTTTTTTTGAGGCTATCGTAAATGGAATTGTTTTCATATATTCTTTCTCAATTTGTTCATTGTTGCTGTATAAATCTAGTTTTAATGCATTATGATCAGATAGAATTCAAGGATTATTTCTGCGTTCCTTAGTGTCATTTATCTTTGTTTTGTTGGGGTTAGGAACCTTGTATGCATTTTCTTCATTTCCCTCTGAATCCTGTATTAAATTTTTTTTGAGGAGAGTGGTTTCCATCCCTTCTTCTTCCCATCGCTCTACTTGGTACTGTGCAACTATGTTCTTGATAGGCTAGTTGGTGGTTTTAGTCACCTGCTTTCTTTTCCTTTGATTTAATTTTTGTCTTGTGGCTGTCTTGGTTGTTAGCTAGGTTGGTGTACTATTTCTGTCCCTGTCTGGAGGTGTAATTTAGCAATAACCAATTCACAGGTTCAATACCCAACCAGTTGTTTATATATTATATAGAAGACCTCTTGGTGGTAATATCTATAGGCAGTGGGAGTTGGGGAGTTAATGTTTGTTAAGCTAGCTATAGAAATTTTGGGAGTTGATCGGGTGGCACTAAAAGGGGAGGCAGGAAATGGAGTGGGAAGTGATGCGGGGACTGCTGGGTTTTGTGGCCCTTGTGTGTGTTTGGGTATATTTCTGTTGTTGTAGTATTGGGTGCTTTTGTCAAGGATTGTAGTGGTTTTGGGTTATGTAATGTTGGTATAGTAGGTTGGTCAGGGGGTGATGAGTGCGTAGGAGGGAGGGGTAGTCTGGTAACTGGTTAGGGGAGAATGGGAGGGGAAGGTGAGGGCAGGGGGAGAGAGTGGGTGAGAAGGAGCAGAAAGAGTAGTTGGGAAGGAGAGCAATGGATTTTAGCACAGGAGAAGGAGGGAAAGTGAAGGGGGTGAGAGTAGGAATGAGAAGATGGTGATTGTAAAGTTGATTGTATAGAAAGAAAAAGAATGGGAATAAAAATAAAAAACCCACAATGAAAGAAACAAAAAGAACAATAGGGGGGAAAAAAACAATGAAAAAACCAGTTCATGAGCAATAGAATTTCAATCTTAGTTTGAGTTCTGGAGTTACTCTTCTGGCATCCAGTCCTGGTATTGGCATATAAGCAGAAGCTCTGATGTGTTCTCACCAGGTGGTTGGCTTGTGAGTAGTGTTTGTTCTTCTGTCTACCAGTTTAATTGAAATTGTGAGTTGTGGTAGATTTGCCAGATCATGCAGGATGGTTGGAGCTATTGTGTGTTATCCTTTAACTGCAGCTGTTTGGTCAGCTCCTCCTCTAACTAGGTGAGGCAGTTCAAGTTTGAATGCTCTGTGATCCACTACCTGCCCTGCTTTGGAGGTGGCTTATTTTACTGTGTTTGTTTACTGAGAGTTCAGCAGTGGGGTTTTATTTCTTTGCCCTGCCCCCTTTCTCTGGGGCAGGTTGTGTTCCAGCCACCCCCTCTGTTGTCCGTGTTTTATTGCAGTTCGCTGTTTGTTTTTCAGTGTAGCGGGGCGGTTCGGTTTTGGATGCTGCTCTCTGGCTCAGGAGATCATTTCTGTGATCCACTGTCTGCCCTGCTTCAGGGAGTGGCTTATTACCTGTCCACTCTCAGTCTTCACTGCCTTTCCTGTGTTTATTTACTGATAGTTCAGTGCCGAAATTAGATCCCTGCTCCTCCCCCTTTCTCTGGGGTAGGTTCCCCATTCCACCCCTCTACTGTTCATGTTTAATTACAGTTTGCTGTTTGTCATTCAGTTTTGTTAGGGGTTGGGGGGGAATCAGTCTGCCCAGGGGCTGTGCTGGTTTATGTTCCCAGGGGTGGATAGGGGATTCCAGTGTGGTGTGTGGTGCTCACCTGTTTGTTCTGTCAGTTGACGTACAAGCAGGTTTGGAACTGGTAGCGGTGGCAGCAGCTGCTGCGAGAAATGGTGCCAAATTTTCTCAGTGTAATGTGGCATGGGGAGGCTTTCCATGGGCTAGGGATTCAGGATGTCAAAAGTTTGATTCTGGTTGATCCTTTATTTTTGCTTAATCGAGGAAAGAGAAGAGAAAGAAAGAAAAAAGAAAAAGAAAAAAAAATTTCCATTGGGGAGGACGGTTTCCCCAGGGCTGTACCTGCCTTGTTGGCTGTGCAGTGGGTTGCAGCTATTAGGTGCAATTAAAGGCTGATTTGAAGGTCAGTCTTTGAATTTTTTCCTGCACCTTGTGTGACGACAGTTATTATTTTGGGTAGAAGCAGTCAGAATTACCCAAGTGTAGCTCCAGCATCTCAAGGAGGTTTTTGGTATCTCAGAGTTTAGACTTCCTGCTTCCGTAGCCTAGACACCATCTTGGGTCTCAGTATGTAACATGTTAAAACAAAACAAAACAAAAAGATCTTACCTACCTAGAGCCTGGATTCTTAAACTCTCTTCTATCTAGTTTTTTTTTTTTTTTCAACTTTACAAATCTTTTTTTTTTTTTATTCATATGTGCATACAATGCTTGGGTCATTTCCCCCCCCCCTGCCCCCACCTCCTCCCTTACCACCCACTCTGCCCCCACCCTCTCCCCCCCACCCCCTCGATACCCAGCAGAAACTATTTTGCCCTTATCTCTAATTTCTTGTATCTAGTTTTAAAAAACACATTGAAAACAAGTAAAAAGCCAAAAATTTCAAACATAAGCACCTGTCATCAAAGTATCAACCAAGAAAATCTAGCTGTGCTGTGCACTGTATGGTTTCATCAAGTTCAAGACTTGGAGTGATCTGGCTGTAGTTTATTGAACTTCCAATCTAGTAAGGACAATTCAGGAAATAGGACCAAAAATGTGGGTAACAACTGTGCAAGCCATCCAGGAGCAACAACAGGCCAGGGCCTCCAAACTAACTGGTCAGCAGTCAGGGTTCTGGTCAGTGTTATGGGCAGAGGGTGTAAAGGAAGAAAGTAGCATTTTGCTTTAACACATATGTCTGTTAGAAGGCCTCCAAGATCATACATCCACACCTGTTATATTCTTTCTTTGAAGAATAAAATGACCAAACACATGCCCATGTTTAGGAAAAAAAAAAAAAAAACATTACTAAAAGGCCAATCCCAGTGGTGGCCCCATGAACATTTCCCCAGTGGGTCTATAGTTTCATTGGTTGTAGCTGTGCATCCTGGTGATAGGTAGGATTTGTTCTAACTTATCAAAAGAGTTGTTATGTTCAACTTGGTTGTTTAAGAAGAAAGAGAATGCATAGTGTATTGTAGAAAGCTCTCCACCAAAAATAAAAGACTAAAATTAAATTCTGATATTCAAAGGTAGCATGCTAGTTTCTAGAAATTTTAATCCTTTGAAACACTTACTTGTGTATATACACACTTGAGGTGTACATTAAAATAAATCTTTAAATAAGTGTTTTTGACAGTAACCAGCAAGCTCTGAGTTCTTGAGGTTGTTCTTTTATTTTTAACATGTTTTATGTTGAGTAACCTCTATTTCTGTCTGTTTTCTCTTTTCATTAGCCTTATTAGAAAGAAGACTGCAGGGCTAGAATCAGCAGCTACAATCAGAACCAAAGTGTTCGTGTGGGGCCTGAATGATAAGGACCAGCTGGGTGGGCTCAAAGGCTCTAAGGTATTTCCCCTGCAAGCTAAAGCAACGCCTTCCCTGCTACCCTGTCACTGAGGAGGATGCTTGCTTGTGCTTTTGTCCACGAGAGTCATAGCAGCCACCAGACTCTTTAAAGTTTTCAATAATAGTTTTACCTTCTATTTGTGGGCTGTTTAAAAACTAACTTTTTTCAAAAATAATTGTTGACATTAACTAGACATTGTCAAATTTAGTTTCTGAGAAGACTCTGTGTAGGAAAAAACATTGATATAAGTGTAGTACCAGTGGTGGTTCCTAGGGACATTTTCCCCGTACCTCTAACAGTTCCTCTGTTGTTCCTTGGACAGTAGTGTGCCTTAACTATAGTTGTATTATTGTTATCCAATAAACTAGAAATAATCTTGTGAAAAGATTTGACAAGTGAATAGATGAAAGTTGAACACCATAACTATATTAATCTTGCATTCAATGTAATAAATATTTTTGCTTACCTTGAACAAAATAATGTGTAAAAATGCTCTAGTGACATGAAGGTGAGTAAGATGTGATTTCTGCTCTTTCGATACTTTGTGCCTAAGATATTTCTGTGTGAAATAGCTCCTGTAGAGAGAGAATGCTTTGGAAGCACAGAGGAAAAATAAACAAAGCAAAATACATGCATATGCCATCTTTGAGAGCCTTGTGGATAAAGACCCTCATGTTCTCACTCACCTTGTTAATAAAAAGTGTATCACAGCTTTTGTGCTCAGGGCATCCTTAATGCCATAAGTAGTTGGGTGATAGGTTAAAACAGTAAATATAACAAATGATACATTTGAATTAGTGTTGGATTTAGTGTATCTTATACCACTCAGTGTGTCTTGTCTGAGAGGCCCCAAAACAACTTTCTCCAAATTTCAGTACTTTTAGACAGTTTCTCCCTTTAAATAAATGAGTGTCTTCTTTTTAGCATTCTATGAAACATCATCCATCCTAACTCCAGTCATTAACTGCACTGTCAAGAAGCTGAGAAAATTTGAACTCATTATTTGAACTCGTTCCCCTTTCATACCCCACCTAACATTTATTTGAGCAGCCTTGAATTACATTTTTTTTAAGGTCTCTGACCTCCATTTTGAAGTGGACAGGGGCAGTAAGCTCCAGGTGTCTCAGCTGTGTTATGATAGAGCTGTCCACAGGTTCCTGAGGCATGGTCACTGTTGGAGCTGGGACCCTTGCTGTCAAATGTAGAACTTTCACATGAAGGATAGAGTCAGGACTCCACAGTTGTTTTTGTTGTTTGAGACAGGATCTCATTATGTAGCCCAGATTGACCCTCCTGAGTGCTGCGATTATAGGTGTGTGTGCGCCACATGTCCAGTTTAGGGCTCCATAGTTGTAATGAAATCCTTTCTTCTACTGCAGTAGCAACTGAGAGTTTCTGAGATGTGGAATTGTGAAAGATGTCTTAAACAAAGGACTCCAAGGACTTTTAATTAATTCATAACCATCTACAATGTAAAACAGAAGCATATAATTTCTTAGAGATGTCAGAGTCAGAAGCAAGCAGAATGAACAAGGACATGATTTGATGTAGTTTGCTGATGTTTCTTTTTATCTTTACAGCATATTTATTTTATTTTTAATCTTTTATTATGGAAATGTTCAAATGTACCTAATGGAAAGATTAGGGTTGTGATCCCTTATGTTCCTGGTACCAACTTCAGCATTTACCAACAACTGGCTGCATTTTGGTCTTTATTTTCTATCCAATTCTCAGATATAGTTCATTAAGTAGATACAAATATATGCTTCCATCCTTAAAATACTTCAGAGAGATACACTAATGTAACCACACAAATTAACAGCAATTCCTTATATCATGTAGTAGGATTAAGTAAATTTTAAAAGTATAAATAAATTACCTGTTTCCTTTTGTAGATAAAGGTCCCTTCATTCTCTGAGACTCTGTCTGCTTTGAATGTGGTACAGGTGGCTGGTGGTTCTAAAAGTTTGTTTGCAGGTATGATTAGTCTAATATTTACAAAATTTAAATTATACTTAGCACATATAAATAGTTTTTAGGTTTTGTAAAACAGATCTTTTCCTGGCTTTCATTACTTGCAGTGACTGTGGAAGGAAAGGTGTATGCTTGTGGAGAAGCCACGAATGGCCGGCTGGGGCTGGGCATGTCTAGTGGGACAGTCCCCATCCCACGGCAGATCACTGCCCTCAGCAGCTATGTGGTCAAGAAGGTGGCAGTTCACTCAGGTACAAGTCCAGCTTCAGCACTAATGTATGCCATAAGCTGTCCTTCCCTTTAGAAATTTACCATAATGGGTCCTTGCATTATTTTTCAGGTTTTTAAATAAGAGGAAACATTGAATAAATGTAAATCTCTGGGTCGTCTGTGGTCTAGAATTTAGTTGATGCTACTAAATGAAGATTTTTGGAGACCGGCATTGTTGGTGCTTCAGATGTGCTGGTGTACTTCTTAAAGGATGGGGTGTTCAGTGTTTGGAGCCATTGTCTCAGGCCCAAGATATCCATGAAATCATACTATTTTGTGCTAATTAAGTGTTATTTTTCTGAGGAAAGAGTCTATGACTTTCATCAAATTCCCAAAAGTGTCTGTGAAACCTCAGTGATGTGAAAGATTGTGTGTGTATGTGTGTGTGTATCCTTAATTTAGGTTCAATTTATTGAATGTTATTTTGAAGTACTGTACTAGGCCTTTGAGGAATGAAACTGAATTAAATACAAAGCTCAGTTCATACTTGACAGTAGCTTAAGCAAGAAAAAGTTTTACTTTTCTCCCCTGTAAAAATCTAGGCATATGGTCTGGTCCCATCCATGTATCCTCTGTGTTTGTGAGGGGCACTAGTTCTTTCAGTCCAACTCTTTGGGAAGTAAGCTCTGCTGCTCTAGTCCTTAGGTCTAGGGTCCAGGTAGTACTGGAGGGAGTGTCTTACAAACTATGTAGCCGACTCTCAAAACCCTCTTGTGGGCAAGGAGCACTAGGAAGTATGGTTGCTGGCTGAGCATATTGTTGTGACACTACAGGGATTCCGTTGATAAGGAAGAGGGGAAAATGAATGTTGGGCACTAGGAGACCCATTTGCTACACTGCCCTTAGAGCCTAGAAGCTGTCTAGGACTTGGTGGTATAATCAGAGGTCATGCCTGTAATTTTGAGGCAGGGTGTGTGGACTGGGAGAGTATTCCATGATAGGGAAAGAGCTTGAATTGATGCGCTTTGGAAATAAATATAATGTTTTAATTGCCAATCATGCTACTTTGACTTAAATCCGCTATTGAGGTGCATTGCTCAAAGCTTTAATTGCCATTCTGTTTAACAATTTGTCCAATTACAAATGTGTTTTAAAATTGTTTCATATAAATTTTGATCCTTTACATTTAAAATAGCCAGAACCCCATTAATAATCACTATTACTTTGTCCCTTTGCAAGTAAAATTATTTTAACATTTTGTAATTTACTAATTTATTTTGTATATATGCCACCTGGAGAATTTTTATAGTAGCTTATATGTTGTTGGTCCTGTTTACTAATTTATTCAGTACACCAACACGAATTCATGCTACATGTAAAGAAAAATGGGTAGTTATACTTGTGAATTTTTTTTTTTTTGTGGTACTGGAGGTTGAACTCAGAGCCTCATGCTTGTTGGGCCGGCCCTCTACCACTTGAGTCACACCACCTGCCTCCTACTAGTGAATTTTTTGCACACTGCACTTTGTCAACCTAAGCCTGTGTGAATTTTACAGGTGGACGGCATGCTACGGCCTTAACTGTGGATGGGAAAGTGTTTTCATGGGGTGAAGGTGATGATGGAAAGCTTGGACACTTCAGCAGAATGTAAGAATATTTACTTCAGTCTTACTTGTTAATAAGAAATGGTTACTACTAATAAGAGTGAATGTCTTTTCATAGTTTTGCAGAAAATTAAAATATAGGTTATTATAGAAATAGATCTTAAAAAATTTTTTTTAACGTGGTTAGATATGATTTGGCTTCACATTCTATTTTTTTAAAGGTTTGATGGCTAAATTGATTTGTAAATCTTGTGTTGACTAAAGATGGTATAACTGTCTTCTCCTTTTTTGAAAAAGCATGGATTGATTGTAGATTGTGTACTTTAATCTTGTTTTAGGAACTGTGACAAGCCAAGGCTGATAGAGGCCCTGAAAACCAAGCGCATCCGGGACATTGCTTGTGGGAGCTCACACAGTGCAGCCCTCACATCGAGCGGGGAACTGTACACATGGGGCCTTGGAGAGTATGGCCGGTTGGGACATGGGGATAATACGACTCAGTTGAAGCCCAAAATGGTGATTAAACACATTTTTAAAGCTTAGAAAGCTTATCATCTGATGATTTCAAGAGAAGATAAGCCTCAAGTTTAGGAAAATTCATTAAGATATGGGCAGTATTGCTTTTAACTTGTAGAAAAATTTCCCTTGCTTTCTCAGTGCTCATGATTAATTCTGTCTTTAAATTTGTAACTGAGTAGGTAAAAGTCCTTCTTGGCCACAGAGTAATCCAGGTTGCGTGTGGAAGCAGAGATGCACAGACATTGGCTCTGACTGATGAAGGTGAGTGCCTGTCAGGATTCTTAAGTTCCTGGGTGGGTAGGAATGTTATGAAGTGCTGGCCTATTCTTAAGTTCCTGGGTGGGTAGGAATGTTGTGAAGTGCTGGCCTAAAGTATACACGTGTGTGTGTGTGTGTGTGTGTGTGTGTGTGTGTGTTTTGTTTTTTTTTTTAAACTAGGTTTGGTATTTTCCTGGGGTGATGGTGACTTTGGAAAATTGGGCCGGGGAGGAAGTGAAGGCTGTAACATTCCTCAGAACATTGAGAGATTAAATGGCCAGGGAGTATGCCAGATCGAGTGTGGAGCTCAGTTCTCTTTGGCACTTACCAAGTCAGGAGTGGTGTGGACATGGTATGTCAACTTCCTTACTATCTCTAAAGTGTTTGTGCTTTTGCAAGGCATGTCAGGGGAGCATTGGCCTCAACCCATCCCTACCCTTGGCTGCTTATAAATTGTCTTTTTTTACTCATCCAGGTAACTTTGATTTTTGTTTATGTGGAATTGGGAATAGTGACAATATTTCAAGAAGAAACTTCCCATTATAAATGGTTCATTTTAGAAAGAAATCTAGAGAAATTTTAGGCCACTTGCTTTTCCTGTTTGGGTGAGGCTTATGTAAAGGGTTTCTTCTGCTTTCTTACTATAATGGAAGCCTAATAATAAAATGAGAACAAAACAGACTTTTGTATTCCTTTCATCATGAAAAAAATTTGTGTATGTTTCTTGTGAAAGTTAATTTTATCAAATTGCAAAGGATTAGGTGCCCAGACAGACCTTGGGGTGGTGTGTCAGATCTTTCCTGCCAATGTCTTAATCAGAGGCCATTTTGTACCAGATAATGTGTTGGAGGGAAGTTTGCAGTTTTGTCTTGTTTTCAGTCTCTGAATATAAAAATCTGCAATTGTAACATAAATGTTATAAACTCATATTACAGTATTAAGGCTCTTATAGCCAAATTAATGAATTAATTTAATAGTGTACGTTTTTAAAATTAAGGTTAAAGATCTTGGGTGCTATGTGTGATGTTATCACTCAGTTGGCTCTAAGAGATATAGGTAGTGAGTTATTTTCTTGTATAGCATTGGCAGACTGTAATCATATAGTAATACTCACACTGTTGCCTTCCTCCCAGGGGAAAAGGAGATTACTTCAGGCTGGGCCATGGCTCTGATGTGCATGTGCGGAAGCCACAAGTGGTGGAAGGGCTGAGGGGGAAGAAGATCGTGCATGTGGCTGTTGGGGCTCTACATTGCCTGGCAGTCACAGACTCAGGGCAGGTAAGACTGTAAATGGTCTGGGGGTGATGTGCCCTCCTGAAGTAACAGTCACAGCATTGCCCTTGTCTTGTCAGCACTGTAACCCTCAGGCCAGGTGTGGTGGTACATACTTGTAATCCCAGCACAAGAAAGCTGAGGCAGAAGGATGGCAAGTTCTAGGCCAGCCTGGACTATGTTCTAAGATCTTGTCTCCAAAAAAAAAAACCAAAAACCAAGCAAAAAACCTATAATCCTTTGTGGCATAACATGAGTCTCACTACTTGAGGAGCCATGAGGGAGATCTGCCTGATCACTAGCACAGGATGTGGGGGGCCCTTAGGAAATACCCTTTCTACTCTAAAGCCCATGTGGAAATGTAAAAATTATTACTAAAGATGCTTTTACTGCTAGCTCTTAGTAGTAGTATCTTACCTAGGAGAATTTTTACAATGGGGAAGATACATGCTTCATTTCAGAAATAAAAATAGTATCTGATAAGTACTACCCATTCTATTGCTTTGAGAGGAATTAGTCATTTCTGACTCGTGGGTGTCATATTTTTAAAATTCACTTATAAAAATAAAATTAGCATACTTTTTAAAATCAGAAATGAATTATACTCTGTAATTCTATAAAACCAAAAAGCAAATTACTTGAAAAATGAGCATGTGGGTTTTTTTGTCTACTACAAAATATAGGAAAAAATTAATTACTGCCCTTAGCTGAAGAGGGATCTGCATCTTTTAACAAAACAGTAGATTAATTATTTGGATTAGTAGTAAGTAAATAGGCATTTATAGTTGTTGGCAAGCATTTTTATGGTTAAATTTTTCTAAGAATTATAGTGTTCATGTGCCTTTTTGTACGATTTTACCTTTAAGGGCCTGTTTTTTTCAAGTGCTATAGCATATACTTTAAGTGTTTTCAAGTAAGTTTAAAGAAAATTATCTGAGATGTTAAAAAATGTAAGTTTGGGTTTTTTCCCCCACTCAGGTATATGCTTGGGGTGATAATGACCATGGCCAGCAGGGCAATGGCACAACCACAGTAAACAGAAAGCCCACTCTTGTACAAGGGTTGGAAGGCCAGAAGATCACACGGGTGGCTTGCGGGTCATCGCACAGTGTGGCCTGGACGACAGTGGATGTGGCCACACCTTCCGTCCATGAGCCCGTCCTCTTCCAGACTGCGAGAGACCCTTTGGGTGCCTCTTATTTAGGTAACACAGATTTGTATGTTCTCCGAGTCCTTCAATAGGATATAGCAATGCTATAGATTTGTTTAATAGTGCTGACAGATTGGAGGTTTTCGTGCTGTGTTAACTACATTATGAACCTATAGACACAGAGGAGCTACAGTGCACTCTTGTGTTGATCATGCATCTCTCCAAGTGTCACCCCAAGGATGATGAATATGTGCACCTTTAGCGCTCCCTTCCCAAGTGAGTATGTTTTTCATGTTGTTGCCCATGGACATCAGACTGCAGGTTCTTCAGCCTTTCGATGAGGAATTGTACTGTTGGTTCTCTCAGGGCTTTCTAGCCCTGGGCTTGGACTGCAAGTTGCTGTCTCTCCTCATGAAGCTTCTGGCTTTTTGGACTAAGCAGCTGCTGGCTGTCTTGGCTCTTCAACCTACAGATGGCCATTGTGGGATTTTCAATCTCGGATCTTGTGAATCGAGCTGATAAATCCCCTCCTACAATTATGTATTCTATTGATGCTTAGAGAACCTTGATTAATACACATAATTATTTTGAGGTTCATCTATATTGTATATCATTTGTACATTCTTTTATTATTATTTAAAAGTATTTCATTTACTAGTATATTCCAGTTTGTTATCCATTTGCCTGTTTTGCCTGTTGGACATTTGGGTTGTTTTCAGTTTGTGACTATACAAAATGTCACTAATGAACATTTGCACGCTTGTAGTACTGAGGTTTGAACTCAGGGTCTTGCTCTCGCTAGGCAGGCACTATACCATTTGAGCTACAGCTCCATCCTGCACACAAGTCTTTATATGGCATTTGTCTTGGTTAAATTCCTAGGAGAGGAGTTGTTAGCTCATATGGTTAGGTGTATGTTTTGCTCCTTAAGATACCTACAAACTGTTATGCAAAGTGATTAATTCAGCTCTATGACATTTATTTTATTTTAGTCATTCTAACAGGTGTGTAGTGGTATCATTTTTTGTCTTAATTTTAATTTCCCTAATGACTAATGATATTTGAGCACTTTGCTTATTTGCTGTTCAAATACCTTTTATTGGTGCATTCATGTTCAAATCTTTTGCCCATATTTAAAATTAGTTTGGTTGTTTTCTTGAGTTGAGGGTTCTTTAGTATATTTCAGATGAGTCATTTATCAAATACATAATTTGCAGGTATTTTCCTATTCTTGTCTTTCCATTTTCTTCACAGTTTAATATTAAAAATCAGAAGTTTTAAATATTGATGAATTCTAGTTTATAAATTTTTTTCTTTTACACATCATATTTTTGGTGTCTTGTCTAAAAAACCTTTGTCTAACTCAAAATCATAATGATTTTCTTCCTTTGTGTTTTTATAGAAGTCTTAAAGTGTTGGGTATTTGGGTCTATCTCAGTCTTGAATTAAATTTTATGTGTGGTGTAGTGTGCAGTTTAGCTTAGATTAATTTTTGCATGTGGGTATCCAGTTATTTCAATTACAGATGTAAAAAAACAAACTAACAAACAAAAACTGTTCTTTCTCTGCTGAATTACTTTTGTGCCTTTGTCAGAAATTAGTTGTCTATATGGGTGGATCTAGTTCTGGATTCTTGATTTTGTTTCGTTGATTTATTTGTATATTTTGATACCAATACCACATTGTCTTGATTACTATAGCTTTATGAAAGACTTGAACTCAGGTTGTGGTTGTTCTTTAGTTTTATCTTTTTTTTTCAAATATGTTTGGGCTATTTTAGGCCCTTTGCATTTCCATATAACTTACAGGAGAGCTTGTTGGTGTTTATAAAATTACCTGCTTATGTTTTCCCTCATATATAGAAGTGAGACCTATAAGTTAAATGCATATGTAGATACATATATGGTCATATATATGTGTGTGTGTATATATGTATATATATATGCATACATACATACATATAGTGAGAGAGAGAGAACAAAATTGTATTAGTGAGTCTGAGATGACTGCAGGAGGCAGGAGAGGGAAAGAAACTTTTAGAGAATGAAGAATACTGAAATACCCCTTCTATATATGAATATGATATAATGTACTACATTGTAAGTTGTTGAAGATTAGGGGAGCATGATGATAAACAATAAGTAATGGGGTCATAATTTGATTAAAGGACAATGTATATAGGCCTGAAGTACCAAGGTGATACTCCCTTGGACTATCAATAACCTTAAAAAAACATGAAGGACAGAAGGGTAAAGTAGGTCTTTTTTGGGCGCGGGTACCAGTGGGAGGTAGGTGGGCATAAACAAAGGGTTAATGAGGGTAAATATGATGGATATATTATGTATTCATATATAAAAATAGAATAATGAAACCTGTTAAGATTGTTCTAAGAAGGAGAGGAGCAAGAAAGAGGAAAAACATGGAGGGTGTAAATCTAACTAAGATATATTGTAACTACACATGTAAATATCACAGTGTATTCCCCTGTACAAATATTATATGCTAATAAATTTTTTAAAGTTGCTTGCTTAGCTTTGTGATCAGGATTGCATTAAATTGATAAGTCAGTTTGGGAAGGGTAGACTTTTTTCTTCTTTTTGGTTGTTTGAACTCAGGGCTTCATGCTACTAGGCAGGTGCTGTTACCACTTGAGCCACTCCACCAGCCTTTTTTTTTTTAATACAATACTGAATTGTCTAGCTCATGAGTGTCATGTTTCTCCCACTCTGGGAGACTACGTGGCCCTGCCTGGCCCCCATTTCTCTACTGAAACTCTGCCTAGAAACTCTCAGGGCAGTGAGCTGGATGTGTCTGAAAAAACTGCTTCATGGTGAATATTTTCATTCTTCATTGTTTTGGAATATGTTTTTTCTTTTTCTTTTTTGTCTTGCATTTCAAAAATAAGTAAATACATGTAGTTGTTATTTTATAGCTCTTATGAAGTAACATAGACTGTTGTAAATGCGTTTTTAAAAAAATGCTTATGGCTGAGTGCTGGGGGCTCATGCATGTAATTCTACCTACATGGAAGGGTAAAATCGTGGTTTAAGGCCAGCATGGGCAAACAGTTTTGCTAGACCCCATCTCAACCAATGCCATAGCTGGTTGCTATGGCATGTGCCTCCCATCCCAAGCTATGTTGTTGGCTGAGATGTGGAGGATCGAGGTTTCAGGCCAGCCGGGGCAAAATGTTTGCGAGACTCCATCTCAGTGGAAAAAAAACTGGGCATGACGACACTTCCTGTTATCCCAGCTGTGGTGGAAAGTGTAAAATAGGAGGATCACAGTCCAGGCCAGCCTGGGCAAAAACTGAGAACCTCTCTCCAAAATAACCAGTGCAAAAAAGGCCAGAGGCATGCTCAAGTGGTAGAGGCCTAATTAGCAAGTGTAAGGGCCTGAGTTCAAACCCCAGTACCACCAAAAAAAAAAGTGTTCACAGCTTTTTTTCAGTTTTAATCAACCTTTGCTAAAAATAGGTTTTTTTTTACAGAAGTTTTTTTTTTTTTTTTGCCCTGAAAGACTGTTACTGAGCCTAATACATACTCTATGAAATAACAAAATGGAGGTTGTGATTTGTTTTGGAACTAATCTAGAGGGTTCCTTGTAGAAATAGAGCAAACCATGTTCTTAAAAACAGAACCCAGATTTTAATTTTCCTATTTTAGGTGTGCCTTCAGATGGTGATTCTTCTGCTACCAGTAACAAAATTAGTGGTTTAAATAATTCTAAGCCAAATCGCCCTTCTCTTGCAAAGATTCTTCTGTCATTGGATGGAAATCTGGCCAAACAGCAGGCCTTATCACATATCCTGACAGCACTGCAAATCATGTATGCCAGGTAAGTTTGTGTGATAATTTTTGAAACACTACCATTATGGTTTTTTTGTGGTTCTGTAGTATTTTGAATGACCAGGTGTGTCTAAGGATGCTGTGTTATTGTTTATAAGTACTGTGAGTTGCAAGTCACATATCCTTTAACGGTGATTGATGGTATCTTTGTGCTTTTTTACTGGGTGTGAAATATGAATCAGAAAACCCAGTTAAAGAACATTTTCATATTCTTTTTTTTGTCACTAAGCATTAATATTTTGGGTAGACAGGAAGAATTAGTTGGTGCTAATTTATAGTGATATTTTACAAGTTGTCCTTTTCACATACTTGCTTTTGCAATATTTTGCCACTGTTGTCTCACAGCCTGTGTTAGTCAACTTTCCATCACTGTAACAAAATGCCTGAGATAGTCACTTGTAAAGGAAAAGATTTATTTTGATTGGCAGTTTTGAAGTCCTAGCCCATGATTAGTTAACACCATTACTTTGGGTCTGTGACAATATTCTTGGCAAAAGAAAACAATTCACTTTATTACCAGGGATTGAAGAAAGAGAGAGAAGAAGGGTCAAGTACCCACAATCTCCTTCAGGGACCTAAATACCTGCCATTAGACCCCATCTTTTTAAAAACATATTTTATTAGTGTATAATAGTTGTATAGGAAGTTTTGCTGTGACATTTCCATATATGCCTAGCAATGTACCTTGGTTAGGTTCATCCCCACCATCATTCTCATTCTCCCTCATCTCTCTGCCCCTACTTAAAATGATTGTGACGGGTTTTGGTGTTCTGTCTTCATACTTGTATATAAAGTACATTGACAATATGCACCTTTCTCCTCCCATTACTACCTTTTCCCTAATAGGACCTGTTTTACATTCCTTTCCTTCATTTTTTAAGTTATGTTCATTGTTCAAAGGGTAGACTCCATCTTTTAAAGGTTTTACCACATCCCAGTAGTACCACCAAGGGGAACAAGCCCTTCAACATATGGGACATTTAAGACCTAAACTATAGCACAGCCTAAATGAATTATCTATCTATTAATCTATCATGGATATGGATCTGATAGATATGCTTACGTAGGAACATTAATTCTAGAACAAAGCCCAAGGCAGTCAAAGAGGACATTTAGTGTTTGCTGCTTAATATGTGGTAGGCTTTCATTAATGCCAAATTACCTGATGTTCAATTATCTGGTCTCCAGGCTTTTAACAAACATCATTACCCAAAAGAGGTTCTTAGGGTAAGCCAGAAGCTCATTCTGGTCTAGTTTTTACATTGGGAAGTCTTTCACTTGTCATTTCTGTGGTTACTCAAATGCAGTCATTCATCCATTGCTTAATAATGAGGTTACATTCTGAAAAATGCATTGTGTTTATGTTGTAAGGGATGTGGTTATGCAAATTTAAACAGGCTACAACAGTAGGTGATACAATACTATAAGATCATTGTTGAATATGCAGTCTGTTGTTGACTAAAGTGTCATTATGTGGTATATGACTATAAATAAGGTCTGGAATAAACATTTTAGCTAATAGCCAATGAATACCTGGCAATGATCTCTAGTATTTTACTGAAACTCTTTTACACATATCCTATAACAACAAGGACATGTTTTAAGTGAGCACTTATCCCACCTTCCTATCATTGCCATGGCAAAAGTGCAGCTCACGATTTGGCATGGTGCTCATGCCTGTAAATCTTAGCTACACAAGAGGTGGAGATTGGTTTAAGGCCAGGGCAGGCAAAAAGTTAGATCAATCTCAACAAAAAAAACTGGCATGATGGTTCATCACTATCTTCCTAGCTACATGGGAAGCTTAAATAGGAGAATTGTGGGCTGGGCCAGGCCAAAAATGTGATACTCCATCTAAAAATTAATTAAAGCAATAAGGGAAGGTATTGGTCCAAGTAGAAGAGTCCCTGCTTAGCAAGCACAAGTTCAAAACTCCAGTAACGGCCAAAACAAAAAAGTTTAACTCACCTCAGGCCTGGCTTTTTGTTCTGACAGAGATGCAGTGGTCGGGGCCTGATGCCAGCTGGCATGCTCGCCCCGGTGGAGTGCCCTTCATTCTCCTCCTCAGCACCTGCTTCTGATGCATCTGCCATGGGCAGTCCCATGAATGGAGAGGAAGGCATGCTGGCTGCTGATACTGAGGATAGACTGAGTCCAAATCCATGGCAAGAGAAGAGAGAGGTGAAAGTGAATCTTAGAGCAATACTGGTTCAGAAAAGAATAGTTAGCTTCTTTGTGTCTAAGAAAATCTCAGTCATGTCATTTAATTTAGGCTGTTTTTGATTTGGGGCTTGAATGAGAAAAAAAATATTCTTTTAAAAGAACATTTCCTTGGTACAGCGCTTGCCTAGCATGCGTGAGGCCCTGGGTTCGATCCCAGCACCAAAAAAGAAAAGACAAAAAAAAAAAAAAAAAGAACATTTCCTGGTATTGAGATTAAAAAAAAAAAGGTTTATGCTTTGAAAGTCAATTAAATTTTGTAACGTGTTTGGGAGAAAACCCAACATAAAGAGATGTGAGTTCAGTTTAGTCTGATTTCATGTGACCAACCATGAATACTAATAAGTTTTCCTAGAAATTTGAATGTGGTTAACTTTGCAGAGCTATTCCAGGCCCACTGAGGGGTAAGAGTTGAGATGTGGTGGTGGCCTGTGTAATATTTGGAACATTTCATATAGCCTCAAGTGGCTTAAGAGAAGGCATTTTGGACTTGCCATATTGCCATATTGTACTCTCCAATTAGATTGTCTCCTCCGAGGATGCTGTGACCCCCTCTGCAGTGACCCCGTCTGCACCATCAGCCTCCTCTCGGCCATTTATCCCAGTGACAGATGACCCAGGAGCTGCCAGCATCATTGCAGAAACCATGACTAAAACCAAAGAGGTCAGAAAGTGTTTTCCTTTAACTTTTAATGTGAAATAAACTTAAATGTACACAAAAGAAAATGGTATTTAGAGAGAGAGCATACTACATATGCTAATTCACCTAGGTTCTCTGGCTGTTAGCGTTTTTTTGGACCATTTGTGGAAATACTAGTACACAAGTACTGTTACTTCCTCTTGCTTCTGTGTGTATTTCTTGAGTGCCAGGACATCAGTGATCCAGGATTCCCTTTTTAATCCCCAGACCTATTCAGATTTTGCTCATTGTCCCAATAGTATCCTTCTAGTGTAGCACCCAACAATTGTGTGTTGTCTCATTAGTCTTCAGTACAAAACAGTTTCCATTCTACATTTTGACAAAACCACCACCAGAATGGTGCAGAGCATTGTATATCTGCTGCATTTCTAAAGTAATTCTTATCCCTTGGTTAAGGGTGTCTGTCAGGTTTCTCCACTGTAAGTTAGTAAATACTTATGAGAAGATACTTTGAGATTGTAAATATCTTGTTCTTCCTTATTCTTTCACTCACCAGTATTTAGAATCTTTTAAAGATTCTGGCTGAATCCATTATTAGTATGGCGATTATCTACCACAAGTTCTTTTTTCAAGTTTTAACATTTCTTATGGAATGTAACTATTGCCATTTTTCTGTAAAGAAGAGCTTTCTACTCAACTGTCTGTCTAATACTTTTCTACCTACCTTCCTATCTGTCCTTTAAATTGTTACAGATTCATAGATTCCTGTTTTATTCATAGTGATATTTACTAATAGTGGTATTTATTGCTAGCTAGCACCATTTGATTCCCAAATTACCCTTTGGCTAATTCTCTACTTTCTGACACAATAGTGTATTCCATACTCATCTTGCACCTACCGTGCACCTGTCCTGGAATCAGCTATTTCTCCATTGAGCCCTGGTTCTTTTTAGTGGATCGATTGCAAGATTTGGAAACCAAGGTCTAGATGCCTGGTAATCTGATTGCCATTGGGCGTCTTTGGTAGGCCTTCTCAGCAGATAGACATAAACATGCATAAATATTTACTTCTCCTTTTACATTTTATCTATATAACAAAACCTATGTCAGCTTGAACTAATACTTTAAATTTCAGTTCAGTACACCAGAATTTATTCTTATCCTCCTTTCTACATTTTTTTGTTGTGTAAGTTAACTGGATCTTGCTTGCTCCTAGTTTCTTAAAGAGTTTTGCAACTATATTAATAAGGGATTCTGACTTGTAGTTTTCTTGTGGTATCTTTGTCTGATTTAGGTATTAGAATAATACTGGGTTCATAGATTGAGTTGGGATTCTTTCCTCTTCTCTTTTTTAAAGAATAATTTGTGAAAGAGTGGTGTTAATTTTTATTTAAATACTTGGTGGATTTTCATCTGTCTGTGCATGTTCCCGTCATTCTTTGGAGCTTTTCCTTGGTTCTGGCATAACACAAAAGTCCAGACTCAACAAAATATTTTATGCTCTAGTTTTCAGCTGTCCTCCAAGAAGTCTTGGTTGTTTTTTTTTTTTTTAACCAGAGAATAATATTTAGAAGCCAAAATCTAAGCTTTTCCTATGCAGTTGAGATAACAAATTTAGGGAATAAATGTGTAGCATGTAATTACTAGTTCACACCAATAAAATTGGTTCTAATCCAGCTAGGATTTATTCTCATTTTCACCATTTTTCTACTTACAGTTCTCTTCTCTGAAAGCAAGAAACTAAGCTCCTGTCAACTACAGGCTATTTTGCTTGTGTTTCAGTCTCCTTAGATCTTGGCTCCTCCCATCTTGACTGCTACCCACCTCCTCATGGAGCTTTTTCTTCCTGTGTATGGCTTCTAGCACTCAAAAACAGTCTTTCCTACCTGGGAACCACTTTTTCACCCTGCTTGATTTGTGTCTCCCTCCTCTCCATGCTGGGTAGCCCAAACTATGGCACCTTCCTCACTTGGTTTGACTCTGCCTCACTAGGCACCTCACCTATGGACATTCTTCCTCGTTCCACACCAGGTTGCTTCATCTTGCTTATAGTCTGTCCCTTGCCAGCCTTCTCCTCTTCCTCCATGGGGACAAAGATGCATTATTTTTAAGTATAGTTGAAACCTTTGACTTGCACAGTTACTTCTGGCAGAAAATATGTTCTATGGAGATTATTCAGAACTCTCTGTGGTAATGAGAAAGTCACTATTTATACATGATATCTCTGGAGAAGACACTGGCATTATCCATGTTACACCTCTAAATTCCTGTAATTTTTATTTGGTTTGTCTTATAAGTTGTGGAAAAATATTTTTTGTATTAGTATTGGGCTCTAATTCATGTTTAAGGCTGTGCTGCTAGTACTTTTCCTTTTTAGCAATTCCTATGGCCATATTTTCTGTTTTTAAAACATCCCCATTAAAATAGTGTTAGATGCTTTAAATTTCAGTATCTCAAGACCAAGGATATTATATGTAGTTAATTTATTCCACTGGATACTTTTATTCTTCAGTGAGTCATATTTTGGAAAGTCATTATTTCTGATAGATTTCACTTACTGACTCTCTGGGAAAGCCTGGTCCTGGATCAGAGAGTTGTGATTTCCAGGGCACCTCAGTTGTGTCACATTCCCCTTCTTGGGGTTTCTATGTGTGGGTGCTTTCCCTGGCTCATTACTGTTTCTGGAAAGAGTTATACTGAATATACTAAGGTCCAGAAAGCAGGAGAGGAGAGAAGAGGCACTTTTCTGGTTTTTGTTCTTTCTCTGGTGAGCCTTACTCTACCTGGGGAATACAAAGTGTTGGTTTTCACTCTTGTTCCGTACAAGGTAATATGGTTTTTACTTTGAGGTCAGAAGCTATGAAGTGCCCCAGCTGTAATAGCTGGACTCCCTTTCTTCCTTTCCATGAGCCTAGCCCTAGGGCTGACCTACAGGAGGCTTTTATGTGCTGCACAACCCAGGTGGGGTGGTTGAACCCACAGGGTGAGGCACCTCACAGGGTGGGGCCTTCATGGGTAGGGGGTTGGGGGATTGGGAAATGCAGTGATGCTAGAGAAGCATCTCACAGCAAATAAGCAGAATCCTTTTCTCACTTTAAAGGTGAATTATCACAGATGTGATGTTGAGCTGTCATAGTGGGAGTGGAAAGTCAAAGAAATGGTTTTTTAAAAAAAATTTATTTTATCTTTTCCAAAGAACCCAAGAAGCAAGAGATTATAGATAAGTGTTATATGTACTTTAAATAGGATTCTGAGAAAGAATTATGGAGAGGATCTAAATAAATTATATAAAATTACAGTATAAAATCTAGTTGATAGAATAATTCCCAAGCATATCTAAGGAGTTAGGAATAAGTTTTACCTGATGTGACTTCATTCCAGGTCTCCTTCTATAATGTCTGCCTGTGATACAAATTTGGTCACAGTAGTAAACTGTCATTTTTTAATAGTTTAAGACATTGCTCTTTGATAGAGGCTGTTGATACTTTGTAAAATAGCTATTTGGTTTTGAAACCTGGTACAAAGCCTGGTGGAGATATTAAGGGCCTGCCATTTTTTAATTATTCTGTTTTTTCATGTCCCTCCCTCATTGGTGGCAATGTATACTTTGAGTTCCTGGGTAAACTGGTGATTATTTCTTTGCATATTTTTCCCCATTTTAATTGTTGAATGTCATTTAATTTAGGATGTTGAAAGCCAACATAAAGCATCAGGCCCAGAGCCTCAGTCCTTGGATGAGTTTACTAGTCTGCTGATCACAGATGACACCCGTGTGGTAGTGGACTTGCTTAAGCTGTCAGTATGCAACCGGGCTGGAGACAGGGGCCGGGACGTACTCTCAGCTGTGCTGTCTGGCATGGGCACTGCCTATCCCCAGGTGAGTAGTGGGAGGGCCAGGACCACTTTGGCCATCTCCCTGCTCCATGTGGGGCTGGCCTTCTCTGCAAGAGAAATACCACTGTTCTTTACATATGATGTTGTGCTGAATTTACTCATTGGACAACAATTTATAGGCACTCATTTAAAACAAAGCATGCCATAATCCCCCCAGTGATATCCTTTACCCGTGTTCTAAATGTTCTGTGTATTTTGTTCTTACTGATTTGTAGAGTTTTTTCGGTAAGTCCCTGTTCTAGCATATGTTTTGTAGTTTTACCTCGTTCGTCTTTGGAGATTAATTTGGTATTTTTGCCATGCAGAAATTTCTAATTTATGTGTAGTCAAATCTGCCAACTGAGGGGGTGGGGGGAAAGGGGGAGTAATGACCCAATCATTGTATGCACATATGAATAAAGGAAATAAAAAAAAAATCTGCCAACTGTTTTTCATTTATGACTTCTGGATTTTGTATTATGCTGAAAAACATGCTTATTTATATGACATTGTTTTAAAGATGCTCTCCAAAGTTTTCTTTTAATCATCTTTATGATTTCATTTATTATGTTTAATAATTCAGCCATCTGAGATTTATCTTGATTAAGGAATAAAGTAGCAATTCAGTTTTAATTTTACCTAGATGGCAAGTCAATTACCCTAACATTGTTTGTGAACTAATTCATATTTTCTCCAGTGATTTGAAAAAACTACTTTTGTCAGACTAAATTTCTGTATGTAATTGGGTCTATTTGCAGACTCTTTTAAATTCTACTGAAATAACTCCTTATCCTCTAATATCACAATCTTTCAAATATTACATACTTTAATATTTATTTATGACTAAGTTCAGCAAGACTATCACTGTGAAAATGTTCTGTATCTGAGCAATCTGGGACTGTGACCACCAGACACATGTGGCTATTGAGCACTTGAAATGTGGCTATTGTACCTGAAGAAGTAAAGATTTTTATTTTACTTAACTTTAACATAAATAGGCACATGTAGCTAGTGGCTATTCAGTTGGTCTAGATGAGTTTAGAGTATAAGATATTTACCACTGAAATGGTATGAATCACCATTAAATTTTTAAAACAATGTTAAGTGCATAATGAATTGTTGAGAGAAAGTGATTTGAGGCCTGACCTTTAGGGTCTTGGGTCAAGAGAAATGCCTCAATCATGTTTTTATTAGTAGTCCCTTATTTGCAGTACTCTTATTTGCCACAGTTGGGCCTGAGTGGTTCAGTCATTCTTGATTGCTTCCCTCACTCACTTGACTCCCAGGACCTTCTAAGATCTTGGTCATTTTTTTGTGAACTTTTTACTCCTTCCCTTGATATTTTTTGTTCCTGAAGTGGACTTTCTGCACTAGGAAGTAATCTTGTTTTGGTTTTAAAAAAACCTGTTGTTGTCATCATAGGTGTTTCTTTTTTTTCCTTTGAGAGCGGAAACTTTTTTTTTTTATGTTGTGCTGGGTTGGGGTACATTGTGGTACTTACAAAAATTCTTATACTATATCAAATATATCATATTTGAATTAACCCCCTTCACCATTCTCCTTCATCCCCCCCTTCCCCATTCCTGGAGTAGTTTCAACAGATACCATTTTTCCATTTATATACGTGTGTACACAGTATTTTGCACCATATTCACCCTCCTTCACCACTTCCTCCCACCTCCCACTGGTATGAACCCCACCTAGGAGGTATTTCATTTTATCACTTGGCATGTATTGAGTGTGATGTGTATGAGATACCATCTGGCTACAGCAGTGTTACAACATCTTTGCAAACTCAGTGCTGTGTTGGTTTTGTGAGTGAGAAAACCAAGCCCTAATTTGAACTCAGTTTTTTTAATTCCAAGTCCTCCTCTCTGTCATCCTGTTCCTGAGGGAAGATCTAGAGCAGAATGAGCAGGGACGGGACGACAATGGATAGATCCAATCAGCCTCCTCATTTCCTGCTTCTTCCCTAGGTGGCAGATATGTTGTTGGAGCTGTGTGTTACTGAGTTGGAAGATGTAGCCACAGACTCGCAGAGCGGCCGTCTTTCCTCGCAGCCTGTAGTGGTGGAGAGCAGCCATCCCTACACGGACGATACTTCTACCAGTGGCACGGTGAAGATACCAGGTATTGGGATTGGCCCCTTGGGAGGGCTGCATGGTTGCCTGCTTATAGAAGGACTTAATTCTGCAGTTACTTCCATGGGAATGACAATCTTTGTTTTATAGAAAAGAAGTACTAGAATTGCTTCAAGACTGTGTCCTCTCTTTTCTAAAAAACATTATTTTTATACAATACAAAAACATGCAAAGTAAATGTTTAGCTTTATGACAGTCAGATAGATGCATTTGTGACCATGATATAGTTATCTTGTGCCAAGAGATGAGTGTAAGACTAGAGATGGGCTAACTCTCAGAAGCATTCCTAAAGTGATACCATCCTAATGTTGAGCCATCACTGACTTGTACTTCTGGACAGTGACTATTACCCAGGTGTACATCTGTATTATTTTTCTTTCTCTTTCTCCTCCCCCACCTTTGTTTTTTTTTGTTGTTGTTATTTGTTTGTTTGTTGGACAATTCGCCTTTTGAGGTTGTTCAGCTATCAACTGCTGAGCTTTCCTTTGGCCTGGATCTGATGCTGACACACTCCGGCAAATCAGCATGCTCCTTAGCCCTGTTTTTCTGCAGTTTTGTACCTGATTCAGAGGTCCCGTTAGTTCAGCCCTTTGGCAAGCCCTTTGTTGACCAACCTCAGAAAACACCTAGTGTCTTCATGTCTGTCTTTGCAATGTTAGTGATGCTTATACTGAAACCATTGATCCACTGGGGGTTGCAAAATAGGGCTATTCTAATTAAATCATTTCCGCCTTATTTATTAGATGGAATACTTTATAAAGAGGCCTTTCCCCTCATCTTTTAGGGATACAACCTATATAAGAAAGGTAAGATAAAGGCTTAATTCTGTCCTTCTATTTACCAGTTTTCAGGAGAATTAATCCATTCTCTATCACTCTTCCAAGGTGTCCAGTTAGATTTTTTTCTTTTATATCATTATGAATAGTGGAGTGACACATAAATGATAAAGTTTAATCCATTGTAGTTCTCCTCATTGAAGCTCAAATTAGCCCATCTCTAGTCGGTGGCAGCCTTTTCAGTGTGGCTTCTGAAATGGCTCTGGCAGTCTGTTACTAGCTCCCATGCAGTCTGCTATGACAAGGGGTTCTAGGTTTATCTTTTAGGTTCCACCCTTTACTTGGGATCTGCCTTGGTTTCTCCTAATGACATTGCATTTTAAGATCACAGCCTGGTTCTGGTAGACTCATTACTAATCTGCTGTCTTTGTTTTTAGACCTTTTCTGTAGAAAAGATAGGCTGGAAAGGTGGATGGACAGGCAAACAAATTGACTTTCTTTTGAGTTCATGCTGATATATTTGATTCTAGTTCAAAAGGGCAAGGCTTTTGCTTCACCTGTTCTGTCACATCTGCATCTCTTTTCTTCCATATCAAGTCAAGGGATGATAGAATTAGAGTATCTCATAATTTTTCCTTTGCTTTAGCCCATATTATACATAGGGCAGACTCAGGATGAATTCTAATATTGCCAACATCAATATAATTACTGGAAACATTTGAAAAAAAAAAAAACTTCTGGCATATGCTCTCTTCACTTCCAAACTTATTATCCCAATTAAACTAATCTACCACAACATAAGGCTATTGCATACTGTTCCTCCCTCCCTTCCTCCCTCCCTCCCTTTTTTTCTACCACTTAACATACTCCCAGCCCTGCTTTCTTCCTTTTAATCTTCATGTACTCTTACTTTTACTACATTTAATTTTCTCTCCTCACGCTTTTGTTTGCCTCTTGGAAAGAATTTTTATTTTGGCCATACTAGAGTTCAAACTCAGGGCCTCATGCTTGCTAGGCAGGCACTCAGCCACTTGAGTGCCAGACTTTGCCAGACCTTGTTTGCCTGTTGAGTCACTGTTTATCTGAGCATATGCTAGTAAATTCCTCTGCAGCCCCTGTCAGGCTTGTCCGTGAAAGTTTGTGCCATTTAAAACTTGAAAGTTTGTGCCTTTTAAACTTGAAAGGGTGCTTTTCTGAATATTAATCCTTGGATCACATCTTCTTCTGCAAAAAGTGTGATAATGATTGGTTAATTTTCCCCTTATAACTCATGTGCTTTTTTTTCACAAATTTTACTGGAATATATGTTCATGTTGGTCATTCTAGGTAATGTTCTCATATAAGAGGTGTGCTCTTTTAATGTGTACTTCCAAATCTTTTCTTCCAGGACATTTTCTCTTTGCGTTAACTTGTAATGTTCTATCCCCTTGCTTAGTTCTCATTTCCAGGGGTATTTGGTGATTGTGTGCTGGATGCCTTTTAGATTTGATGTTGGTCACTTCCTCTTTTAGGTGTTTTTTTTTTTTTTTTAAACTCTAAAAAATTTTTCTTCCTTCCTCTTTTGTCTTAAGGCATTATCTGTTGTGCTTAGTGTATCTTCTGCTCTTTCTAGTTTAAGTCTTGATTTTAGAATTTTTAGTTATAATTCTTCCCAGGTTTTAACATTTTTTTTATTTTATTTATGTTGTTCTTTCCTATCTTTTATTATTTTTCTGTCTTCTTTCCCTTGTTTTGAGATGGCAGATGTAGATTAGGTGTGTTTGTGAGTACACTTTTCTGACCTACTTTCATGATCTGTAAGAGTACAGAGTTATCAGGTCCTTACTGTTTTTTTTCTAACAATAACTTTGCATTGGCTTTGGCTTTAGTGCTTTTATCTTACTCATTTTTATGTGCAATCCATTTTCGTAAACCTTTAGAATGAGATGGGATTCAGAAAAACATTTTTAAGTTGTTGCTCTTTCATGATAGAAATTAAAAAATAAAAAGTATTGTCCGCCCAAAAGTTGCTTAAGAAGACAAATTTGTGGCTCTTCTTCTCTTTTCTGACTCTCACTTGATACCCAGTCTGCCAACAAATCTTGCCTTCCCTGCTTTTAAAATATGTTACAAATTCAGTCATTTCTTGCCAGCTGCACATCATCTGGGAGTTGTAGCTTGTCTTACCTAGTTTTTGCTATACCAGTGTTGTGCGCTGGCCATCTGACTATCTTGGTTCCACTCTTCACCTTTTATGTTCCTTTATACAACATCCAGAGTCAGTCATAAGCTGTTTGTCCTCTGTGTACAAACCACCATCTCATCCCTGTAATCTTAAAATGAAATCTAAAACTGCACACTTAGTCCTCCCTCTCCTCTTCCCTCCCATGCCTCTTGTCTAAGCTTACCTGATTGTCTTCTGCTAGTCCTTAAAAATGTTTCAGCCTGTAGGAAACAACTTTTTTGATACCAAGTATATGGATTTTCACACCAGGCAATTCTCTAGTTCTCTGTGGATACCAACAGAGTATCCCACAATTCAGTTCAATTCCGACAATACCCAGACCTGTTCGATCCCACAAGACTACCCTTACTTGAAAGCCAGTTTGGTCTCCGGATAACTTACAACTTCTAGCAGACTTGACTACAAGGGATTCCTACAGACCACTTATATTGGTCAGGTTTCCATCACTATAACAAATACATGAGATAGCTAACTTCTAAGAGAAGGGATTTACTTTTGCTCACAGTTTTAGAGGTTCTAGTTCATGTTTGATTGACTCCTTTGCTTTAGGCCTGTGGAAAGGCAGCACATCATGGTCAGAATGTATGATGGAGTAAAATTACTCAAAAAGCAGAGACATATAGGAAGGGGCCAGAGTCTCATAATCCCTTTCAGGGCACACCCCCCAGTGACCTAAGGATCTCCTATAAGGCTCCATCTCCCTCTCAAAAGATTGCACTACCTTTCAATAGTGCCACCCCTGGGGCCAAGCCTTTAGTACATAAGCTTTTGGAGGAGAGGCTCAAGATCCAAGCTGTACTATCTCTCCTTAAGTTTCATAATTTGCTGTAAAGCTTTGTCTGGTGAGTGGGGTCACAGTGTGAAAGTTTGCCCTGCAGTGAGAACATAAAACAAATTGGCCAAGTAGAAGTGTTTTCTGGCCTTTCATTCTATGGCCACAGTCTTCTGTGCGGGGTATTGTGAGGGTGGTCAGACTCAGGTTCTTGATTTAGAGGCCAGTTCTTCATTAAATCCTAAATGTAGCTTTAGTCTCACTGTTTCTTCATGATACACTATGACTTTTACTTGATGCCTGGGAGTGGTCACTGTTTTCTACTTGTTTGTCCTCTAGGTGCAGAAGGACTCAGGGTGGAATTTGACAGGCAGTGCTCCACAGAGAGGCGCCATGATCCTCTCACAGTCATGGATGGTGTCAACAGGATTATATCTGTACGGTCAGGTGAGGAAGGGAGGTTGAGCAGGGTACAGTCTTCACCTCTTCCTCTGTGAATGGAACTGTTAATGTTTGTAGGACAGAATGTTCCTGCTTTATTCTATGGGAAATGTAAGAAAGGTGCAGTCAGCTATTTAGCTATGAAATACAGTAGGTTTTATTTTCCTCTTCCTAGTACTAGATAGGCTGGGGATGTGGCTGGGGTAGCGTACTCGCCTAGCATGTCTGAGGTCATAGGTATGATTCCCAGCACTAATGAAAAAACTGATGAAAAATAAAAATGTGATCCCTAGTACTTTTAAGATGTTATCTGTGTGGTGTGTGCCTCATACTACTGATGGACAGGGTTACCAAGTGACCAGCACAAGAGCTGACTCTCGTTAGCAGACACCCAGCCTCATCCAGACAGTTGGAGAAGATGCCATAGGTGTCTGAGAGTGCCAGAGCCTGTGGAGGTACAGGTTTATATGTCCTGCAGATAAAGGGATTCAGCTTTTATTAATTGCAGTGAGGACTTGCCTCTTGGAATGTTCTGTACAGATGGAGTAAACAGGAGTTATGTGCAGTCCTGTCTCTGCTCTGTTGATGTACTCCCTCAGATTGAGTAGGAGCTAAGACCCCATCTGTAGGATGTTAAATACTCTTGGTATATTAGAATTGTCACCACAGGGGTGTGAGTGTGTATGTCTTCTCAGACCTCTTTATCATTCATCTCCAGCAAGGGGTGGCAAATTTTCTCTATGAAAAGCCAGGTGGTAAACATTTGAGGTTTTGTGGGCCACATGAGGTCTCCGTTGTAATTGTTTTCACAGACTTTGTGGCAGTAAGTGGGCATGGCTATGTCTCAGTAGAACTTTACTCACATATAACTTAAGTCCCTGGTCTAAAGCTTTGGATAAAATGGTGCAGTCACAATAAGAATGGGTTTTTCTGGCATTTTGACCAGTGTATGTCAGCATAGTTCTCTGTAATGTTAGTTGATAGGTCTCTGCTTGCATTGGAAGCCCCCAGATGGTCCTACAGTATAAAATTGGTCAGGGTCTCTCTCTTCAGCTCTTCTGAGATGTTCTCATACATAGTTCCCCTGCATGGCTCACCAGGCCCTCGGCTGTTGTGCAGCTGTCCACTTCGTACTTGAGGACAGCCTCTTTCTGGTCATACTGAACTGCAGACGTGGGCCCATTGTGGGAAGCTGGGCTCTTTCTCCTGTTTCCTGGTTACCTGCTGTCCCCAGGAAATACCCCCACACTCCTACCTGGGAGCATGCTGGATGCCCTGCAGGTCTCTCACACTGTATCCTAGTTGTGTGCATGATTGTTTTCCTTTAGGGGTGGCTTCTGTGAGAGCAGTGTCTGCCTGCCCTGTTCCCATGACTTTGGGGATTGAATGAGTATGTGCATCTGTGGAAGGATGGAATGAATTAAGACACGTTGCCAGTGGTGGCACTGTGAACTCAAACTCAGGAGACTTTGGGTTGGAAGAGTCCACTGATCTTCTGACCTGCTGTGAATAACTTTGCTTTTTCTAAGGAGCTTTGTTGGTTGAATGATGGAGTGCACCTAATCCCAGGATATACTTTTTTCTGCCAGGCCGAGAATGGTCTGACTGGTCCAGTGAGCTGCGCATCCCTGGGGATGAGCTGAAGTGGAAGTTCATCAGTGACGGATCTGTGAATGGTTGGGGCTGGCGCTTTACAGTCTATCCCATCATGCCAGCTGCAGGTAAAGGAGAAGCTATGGCCATCAAAGTTTGGTGACTGATTATAGTTATTACCCATGCACCTGGAACTATGCACATTTTCTGTTCAGTAGGACTACCTTCTCTGGCTGTGCTTGGTAGTAAGTGCTGCCAAAGGCCCCACTTGGCTAGGATGAGACCGTAAGAGCTGCCTAAGCTGTGCAACTCTCAGGACGTCAACACGTTCTTTACCCAGTGTGGAAAGGAGGTGTTGCTAGTTATAGTTCCGAAAGCTTTTGATTCACAGTTTGAAATGTCACTAAACAGTGAGACCCATGTGAGGTGCTGTGGGCACACTTTCCACTGCTGCATTCCAGTTAGAGGGCTGCCCTGTTAGTTGAGTTTGTAGGCGTCTCTTTAGTAGGTGGTCCTTGCCATGTCACATAGGGACATTCACAATGGTCCTTCACAGGCCCTAAGGACTTACTCTCCGATCGCTGTGTCCTCTCTTGTCCATCAATGGATTTGGTGACGTGTCTCCTTGATTTCCGACTCAATCTCACCTCCAACAGAAGCATTGTCCCTCGCCTTGCAGCCTCTCTGGCTGCATGTGCACAGCTGAGTGCCTTAGGTAAGTAATGCCTCCACAGTCGTATCCATTACTAGCTGGAAAAATATGGTGAAGTTTCTCATGTTTTCTTTCTGCTTGTTTCAGCTGCCAGCCACAGAATGTGGGCTCTTCAGAGACTGAGGAGGCTGCTCACCACGGAATTTGGGCAGTCAATTAACATAAACAGGCTACTGGGAGAAAATGAGGGGGAAACGAGAGCTTTGGTATGGAGTGAGCATTGTAGTACCATTTCTAGTGACATGTGATCCTTTAGGGTAAAATGTTGGTTTAATTGCTTAAACCTCTAAATTATCAAGAGGAACTGGGAAATTTCACCTGAACACAAGGAGGCCTTTGTTGCATCCAGACTTTTCCTCATGTTTCTGCATGTGTGGAATTCAAACTGAACTTTGATTTTTATAAAATCTATGTAAGGATTTCTATGAATATAGGACTCTGTTGGAATTTATGATTAGTCTTACTGGCCACATCCCCTTTAGTGTGGTGTATGAGATGGTTCCTGTTGATTCAACACTTATGAGAAGACAGGCAAGATTTGTAAGCTAGAGATGAAGAGTTCCCCAGAAGTGCCTGTACCAAAACTGAGACCAAACACTTTGAGTGTTCATACACACACTTTTTAAATTGTAGTATGCATGTCCTTTTAGCCTTTTTCCTACTTGAAAATTTCAGTAAGCATCTTTTAAGGGGTACCAGCATAATGAAACCTTTGACTCGTAGGAATGAAATAAACTGGGAGCTCTCCTGCACTTTGGATTCCTGCAATAGATGTTGTTTTATTTTTTAAGAGTTTTACAGGTAGTGCTCTTGCTGCTTTGGTGAAAGGTCTTCCAGAAGCTTTGCAAAGGCAATTTGAGTATGAAGATCCTATTGTGAGAGGTGGCAAACAGCTGCTTCACAGCCCTTTCTTTAAGGTAATACTGGATTTATTTTTAAGTGATGATAGAGCTGTTTGGCTAGGAGAAGCCACTAGATCTGTCATGGGTAGTGTGTTATGTTTTAGCTTCGTAGGTGTTGCTGAAGGTGAAAAAAAAATCTCAAACCGTTACGTGATCTGTAACATACTTAAGTCATTATCCAAACATTAGCATGCTTTGAGATGAATGGTTTCCCCTGTTAGTTAACAAGACCATGAGTATTATAATGGTTATTGGATCTGAGGTTCTGTTTATAAGGTGCATCTGTAGGAACTGTTAGGAATAATTGAGTCACAGATGAATTAATGAGCTCTTGGACAAGGGTTCTCAGAAACCCTGGGATGGTAGCCAGTGACATTCTGCTCATCTGGTACACAGTGTTGGTGAAGTGACATGTTAGCTGCATTTCTAAGTATCTCTGTGTTTTTAAATTTTTGGTGGCTGCAGGTACTAGTAGCTCTTGCTTGTGACCTGGAACTCGACACTCTCCCTTGCTGTGCTGAGACGCACAAGTGGGCTTGGTTCCGACGGTACTGCATGGCTTCCCGTGTTGCTGTGGCTCTGGACAAAAGAACACCATTACCCCGTCTGTTTCTTGATGAGGTATTTCATGTTATTTTTGGAATTGGCTTGTGTAGTGCAAAAACTCAAAAAAAATTTAGCTATAGTGTAAAAAAGATGCCAATATTGAGACATGGAAATATTTTTCTTTTTAAGAAATACCATAAATATGGAAATGTCACAGAGAACTCCCCTATACAACTATCATATGCTAATAAAAACACTTAAAAGAAAGAAAGAAGAAATACTATAAGAAAGAAAAAGCACGTGGGTGGGAATGAGTAACTAACACTACAAATTTCAATTACAGTTTACTTTTGGTAAAGGAAACTAAAGATACAGTGATACTCTTCAGACATTTTCTTTCCATCTTAGAGTTGGTTTTACTTATCAAGTATAAAATCATGATGTTGGCATTCCTTCATATTCTCAGGCTCCTGTCTTCTAACCTTAATATTTATTTGTGTTCTTCTTGAGATAAGTGTTTGATATATAATCTTGTAATAATTACCTAGGTGGCTAAGAAAATTCGTGAATTAATGGCAGACAGCGAAAATATGGATGTTCTCCATGAGAGCCATGACATTTTTAAGAGAGAGCAAGATGAACAACTTGTGCAGTGGATGAACAGGTTATTACATCAGAAACAAGAAGTAATGTTCTATGTGAAATAAAGGTTTCATATGCAGTTCTTTTCCATGTCAAATGTTCTCTTGATGTTTGTTACAGGCGACCAGATGATTGGACTCTTTCTGCTGGTGGCAGCGGAACCATTTATGGATGGGGGCATAATCACAGGGGGCAGCTTGGGGGTATTGAAGGTGCAAAAGTTAAAGTTCCTACTCCATGTGAAGCTCTTGCAACTCTCAGACCAGTGCAGTTAATTGGAGGAGAACAGACACTTTTTGCTGTGACTGCCGATGGGAAGGTAAGAGTACATTTGTTGTGTCATACTATCATTTAAGATTGAGACAATAATGGTTAGGTGTGTTACTTGGTTTTTGTATATGGAAGAGTGTGTACTTAAATACCATCTCAAGATTAATAGTATTGGCCAGGCATGTACTCAGGCATCTACTCAAGAGACAGAGATCAGGAGGATTAAGGTTTGATGGCAGCCTGGCAAAAAGAGTTAGCAAGACCCCATCTCAGCAAAACAAGCTGGGCATGGTAGCATGCTCCTGTTATCCCAGGCAGGCTGTAGGTAGAATAATCAGAATCTGAGGCTGGCCTGGGGCAAAAGCAAGATCCTATCTGAAAAATAACCTAAAGCAGAAAAGGCTGGGGGCATGGCAAGTGGTATTGCTCCTGCATAGCAAGTGGGAAGCTGGGAGTTCAAACTCCAGTGCAGCCAAAAGATTAATAGTACTTAGGCTATTGGTAGAATCAGTTACAGTTCTAAATATTACTGTGTAATCTTTAGATGTATTTTATAATTTTAATATTTTTATTTTAAAGTATACATACAAAAGTATTAGAAGTTTTGTTTGCATATCATCAGTTAATGTATTCCTTTTGCTGTTGTCAATGCTGTCTTTAAAAAAATTAAATGTTGCTACTGTTGATGTGCAGAAATGGGTGTTTTTATGTTGACCTTATATCTAATGATCTTACCTTTTTCTTTCTAATATATCTAAAGATATTTTTTATCTTCTTTATAGAGAGCCATAGTCTCTCTGTTTTATTTCTTTCCTTTTCAGTGGGAGAAAGGGAGCCAGTCCTGCTGGTCGGTAGTTGGAACATAGTGTCTTACAGGAATGGTGGGCCTGAGCATGTTCTTGTCTTGATCCAGTCCTTGGGGAAAGCACTTTGATGGGACATTTTGCATACCCTTGTCTGATTAAGAAAGTTCTTTCTGTTTCTGTTCATGAATATATGTTGATTTTTGCCACTTTTTCTGCATTTTTTGAAATGTTATTTTATAGATCTTTTCTCCTTAGCAACTAATATAGTGAATTATATTAGTAGATCTTCTTGTATTAAACAAGCTTGCCTTCTTTGTGTGAACACAACTTGATTAGGATATGTTTCATGTATTTTAGGTTTGTGTTTGTGAATATTTTGTTTAGAAATTTTTGGAGATCTGTGTTCATGAGTGAGACACTCTCATACAATATTTCTGTCTGTCACACTCCTTGTCTGGTTTTTGTATGTCACTAGTTACCTGTTTAACTTAAAACAGTACACATTTATCACCTCACAGTTTTCGGGGGTTCAAGATTCCTTAGGTGGCATAGCTTGATTTCATAGTCCAAATCCTTCACTAGGCTACAGTCATCTTGAGGCTGTACAAGGAATGTTTTGGCTTCTTATGGACTGCAGAACTGAGGCCTCAGTTCCTCGTGAACTTTTGAAAGAGGCTGGCCTCATTCAGATCTTTGCTATATACTGTTAGAGCATCTTGCAGTATGGCAGTTGGCTTCATCAGTGTGAGCAAGGGAGAGGGCAGGAGAGTGGCCAGCAAGAGACTGGTAGCACGACGGAAGCTGCATTCTTACATGAGTCACAGAAAAGATACTCCATTGTCGTTGCCATATTCTGCTCATCAGAAGCAAGTCTTCAGTCCTGCCTACGTTCCAGAAGAGGAGGCTTACACAGGGTCTGCACATCTAGAAATAGGGACCTCAGGGAACCAGGTCAAAGGCAAGTATCATGGTGATGCTAACCTCAGAAAAAGGATCAAAGTGTATTTCCTCCTTTTTTTCCCCTCTGTTTGTTCTGTGTATTTTTAGTTGTTTCCTTGGTTGTTTGCACTCCCAAGCAGTGCAAATACTGATCCTTTGGTATCCATTGTTGTGGTTCTTACTTGTTCTTATTTCCCATAGACATTGTTACTGTTACTGTTTTATGTAAACCACATGTTTTCAAGATTTACACAAATGTTATACACATCTTTGCTCGCCATCATTTCTTATGTTTCAGACCATGTGTAGGCAATCATTTCCATTCTAATTTATGCATGTCTTTTCCAATTTGCTTTAGTGAGGTACTTTTGATGGCTAGTTCTGTGATTATTTTGTTTGTGTATTTGAAAATATGTTTATTTTTCCCTTTTTCTAAGGTTGAGATTGGCAAACATTTTCTGTAAAGGGCACCATAATATTTTGGCTCTATGCAGTGAAAGTAGCAGTGGACATATTGTAAAGTGTGTGTGGTGTGTTCTAATAAAACTTTATTCATGAAAACAGATGATAGGGCTGGAAGTAGCTCAGTGGTAGAGAGCTTGCCTAGAATGTGTAAGGCCCTGGGTTTGAATCCTGGCCCTGCAAACAAACATGAAGGGCCTAATTTTGCATGAGGACCATAATTTGCCAATCCCTGTTATAAAGTGTAAAGTTTTCAGTACTGAGTATTGTGGTACATACCTGTAATCACAGTCACTCAGGAGCAGTGTGAGAATTGCTCTTTCAAAATTCTGATAAATTACTGGCATTTTTTTCAAATACCACTTCTTCCATATTCTCTGTATGATATCTTTCTGAGATTCTTAAGTGATGTTACAGTGAGAAAGTCTTTTTTTCTTTTTTTGTGATACTGGATTGAATTTAGGACAGACTGGTGTTCTAACATTGAGCTACTCTGTCAGCCCTTTTCACATTGCTCATTTTTGAGGCAGAGTCTTGCTTTATGCCCCAGGCAGCCTGGACTGCCATTCTTCTATTTGTACTTCCTCACAGAGTTGGGATGACAAGCATGCGTCACTATGCCTAGCCATTGATTAAGATGGGGTCTCATAAACCAAAAGGTTTTTTGCCCTGGCTGGCCTTGAACTGCCATCTTCCCCATCTCTACCTCCCAGGTTGCTAAGATTACAGGCTTGAGCCATTGTGCCGGCAAGAAAGTCCTTTCTGTCTCTGAACCCTTCTTTTGTCTTCTCTTTGCCTTCCTCTGCCATGTGCTGGATAATTTCTTCAGCTTCACATTCCAGTTATCTAATTTCTCTTTCCCTGTGTATAAGCTGCTGCTTAATACAGCTGAGTTTTGAATTTTGAAACTCAGGTTTTAAATTTCTGGTAGTTTTACTTTGGGTTATTTTGTATTCTTTCAGTCCTTGGGCATACAAGTTCTTACAATATATAAACTATATCATAGTTAAATCAACCTCCTCCACCATTCTTCTTTATTCCCCCTCCTCCATTCTTAGAGTAGTTTCAATAGGACTCATTTTTCCAGTTCCATACATGTGTACACAGTATTTGCACTATATTCACCTTCATATACCTTTTCCTCACATGATAAAAAATTTTATTCTTGGCCCTGGTGGCTCATACCTGTAATCCTAGCTACTCAGGAGGCAGAGATCAGGAGGATCATGGTTCAAAGCCAGCCCAGGCAAATAGTTTGCCAGACACTATTTTAAAAAAAAAAAACTCATTACAAAAAAGGGTTGGTGGAGTGGCTCAAGTTGTAGGCCCTGAGTACAAAGCCTAGTACCACAAAAAAAATTTTAGATTATAAACTATGCATTTTTTAGAATTTATGTAGAAATTATTTGAGGGCTAATTTGAAATATCTCATCCATAGAGAATTTATAAACTTGGGTCATTACTGACCTAAGCTGTTATAAAACTAAGTTTTCTGCCTGAGAATTTTAGTCCATATGTAACATAAATATATATTGAAAGACAACTTAAAGGTTTATTTTTGTGGTTATGATTTCTTGGGTGAGATTATTTCCCCTTCATTCAGTGGTAAGATTGAGAAAGGCAGTTTTCTGTGTTATCTTTTTAGTTACGCTGAGGGAGCAGCCCTGTGGAGGGAGCTTCACCTTCCTATGGTTTCCTGAGGCCGGGCACCTTACCCTACACCCTGTACACTCCAGATCTTCCAAACCTTTCCAGGAGAAGCTGTCTATGGGGGCTCATGTATCGACCTCAGTTTTGATTTCTCTTCCTGTTTCAGCCCTTGGAGTCTCCGTACTGTTACGTCAGAGCAGTAATATGTTTGAAAAATGTTTAAAACAGCATTTAAATTTCTACAGGAGGGATGTTTTCCATGCTGTTGGAAATGGCAATCTGGTCTTTCTTTTCTCCTGATTAATGACAAAGATATTTCATGTCCGCAATTATCCAGTTAGAGTTAAGAAAACAGAATTTTCCATCACTTGATTTATATATTTCCGTGCTAAAATATTAAAATATATTTATAAAGTTTTTTGTGTAGAGTGTTTCTGTTAGTATTACTGCCAGGGATTTGTATATACTGGATAATTAAATATTTTTGTCTGTTTTTCTTGGTATTAATTGTCAGTTATAATCTAGACAAAAATAGAAAATAACTTATTTTCACAATACGTTTTGGGAATTTGGGATTTGTAATAATCATACATTTTGGGGCTGAAGGCATGGCTCAAGAGGTATGTGTAGTACCTGACTAGCAAGCACAAAGCCCTGAGTTCAAACCTAATACCACCAAAAAATAAAGCCTTTTTAAGCAAACCATACATTTCTTTTTTTAGTTTTAGAACGTTCAGAGAGCGTGCGTCTATTAGCTTTTCATCAGTATAAAGAAATACCTGAGATAATTAATAACAGAAAAGCTTGTTTAGATCATAGTTCTGGAAGTGCCAGGCACAATGGGTGCACCATTGTTTGGGGCTACTGGTGAAGGTTCCATATGGTCATGGAGGGATTGTAGCACAAACTGCTCATACCTCATGAGCCAAGAAGCAAGAGAGAGAATGGCCAGAACAGAGTACCACAGTCCCTTTCAGGGACATACCACCAATGACCCAAGGACCTCTGTCCAGTAAATTTTACATCCCCAAAATTCCATTACCTCCTAATACTGCCAACCCTGGGGACAGGGTCCTTTTACACATGGACATTTAGAGGACACTCATCTAAAGCATACCAATATGTAAAATCTTACACTTTCCTGTGATTTTAATTTTTCTGTGACAAAAATGTGTAGATTACTGAGTTTTGTTTTAATTACTAAATACAGGAAATTTTGCATGAAAATCTGATGTTGTTACTACTTTTTTTCATCTTAGCTGTATGCCACTGGCTATGGTGCTGGTGGCAGACTAGGGATTGGTGGGACAGAGTCAGTATCTACCCCAACTTTGCTGGAGTCCATTCAGCATGTATTCATTAAGAAGGTGGCTGTGAACTCAGGAGGAAAACACTGCCTTGCCCTCTCTTCAGAAGGAGAAGTTTATTCTTGGGGTGAGGCAGAAGATGGGAAATTGGGGCATGGCAACAGAAGGTATGTGAAAATATTTTGATATTATATTTTCCTTTGCTATAATGCTTGTACAGTAATTGTCCTTTGTTTTTCAGAACATTTTCAGTAATCTCAAAATCAATAATATTAATTACTCATTTGCCAGAATAAATTTAAAAGCCATTATGTGGTTTTACCTATATGATTCCTATACTGAGAGGAAAACATCACAATTGACACTACTTTTTAAGCAAAAGAACCAAACTCATTTGTTTTTAAAAATTAGTGACAAGCACACTGGTGGTTTCACAGTACCTGACTTCAAACTGTGCTATAGAGCTATAGCAATAAAAGTAGCATGGTTCTGGGACAAAAACAGATACAAAGATCAATGGAACAGAATAGAATACCCAGAGACCATGCAACTGTAGTCGTTTGGTATTTCACAAAGGAACCCAAAACATGCATTGGAGAAAATACAGTCTCTTCAACAAATGGTACTGGGAAAGCTGGATATTTACATGTAGAAGATTGAAACTAAATCCCTGTCTCTCACTCTGTACTAATATCAATTCAAAGTAAATCAGTGATCTTAATGGAAAAGTTGAAATGTTGAAACTACTACAGGAAAGAACAGGGAACATACAGGCATAGACAGTAACTTCCTGAATAGAATTCCCAGTAGCTCAGTAAATAAGAGAAAGGATGGACATATGAAACTAAAAAGCTTACACCAAAGGAAACAGTCACAAGACTGAAGAGACAGCCTACAGAATGGGAGAAAATCTTTGCCAGCTATACATTTGACAAGAGATTAATAACCAAAATATACAGAAAGCTCAAAAAACCTCTCAAAGAATCAACCCAATCATTAACTCTGCAAATGAACTAAACACAGTTCTCAAAAGAAGTACAAATGGCCAATAAACACACAAAAAAATGCTCAACATTCCTGGCCATAAAGGAAATACAGATCAAAATGACATTGAGGTTTCACCTTAATCTAGTCAGAATGGCTGTCACCAATAACACAAACAACAAATGCTGGCAAGGATGCGGGGAGGAAAAGGAACCCACATACACTGTTTTGGGGACTGTAAATTAGTGCAACCACTGTGGTGATTCCTCAAAAAACTAAAAACAGAGCTACCATGTGATCCAGCAATACCACTGCTGGGCATATATCTGAAGGAATGTAAATCAGGATACAGGAGAGCCACTTGTACACCCATGTTTATCGTAGCACTATTGATAATAACCAAAATACAGAAACAGCCCAGATGTTCTCTACAACTGATGAATGGATTAAGAAAATGTGGTATTTTATTCAGCCATAAAGAAGAATGAAATTATGTCATTTGCAGGTAAATGGATGGAACTGGAGATCATCATGTTAAGTGAAGTAAGCCAGGTTCAGAAAGATATAACTTTGGACACCAGACAAAATATATGCAACAACAACCCTAAAGATACTGTATATCAGACAGCAGGGTAGTAGTCCCTGAGAAATGAGATACAAACAATGCTACTTCTAAAAATTTTCCCCAGTGGACTATCTGTAGAAGATTTCTAGGCTATGGCATAGGAAGAAGTAGCCCAGGCAGGTTCTGGCAACTTGAAGAGTATAGAGGAGACAAACCTGTAAGTCAAGAAAGGCCAGGATATCTATAGTGTACAGAGTACTAGAGGGGAGAAAGTTGTATAAAGAGAACTCCAGAGACTAGCAGAACTGAGTGTGATAATCACAACTGTAGGAGGTCAAGGAACAAACCACCCAAAAGGATTAGAAGGAACCATAGGTCACATAGGGCAGGGGATAGAGCTTCAAGTAGCCTCATAATTCATAGAGCATTGATTAGAGAACTAGAATGGTGGTATCCAATAGTAGGGAAAAAATTCTTTATATACAATTGTTGCTATGTTCCCATACCAAAACTTAAAAGCAAGACCTTTTAAAAATATGAAAACCATTTTCAGCTCATAGGCCTTTCAAAGACAAGGCCTTGGGCCAGATTCAGCCATGTGGGCAGTAGTTTTCCAGCTCCTGATTTAAAACTCTGAAAGTCTTACTCTGGCATTCAGGTATCCTGTGCAAAGGGAAATAGGTACTTAATTGTGAAATGTTGACTTCAGGTCTGAATGATTCTTCTGTTTTAACTTAATAATGACTTGTTTGAGAGGATGTGTATTGAGAGGTACACATTGAATAAATGAGCCGCAAACAGAGAAACCCATGATACAAGTTTTAAAATATTTAAAAGCAGAAGTGTATTTCAGCTGTATTTGGTGTCTTTTCTTTTAGTCCATGTGACCGTCCTCGTGTCATTGAGTCTCTGAGAGGAATCGAGGTGGTTGATGTTGCTGCTGGTGGTGCCCACAGTGCATGTGTCACAGCAGCTGGAGACCTCTACACATGGGGCAAAGGCCGGTATGGCCGCCTGGGGCACAGTGACAGTGAGGACCAGTTAAAGCCAAAGCTGGTGAGAAGGCCCCATATTCAAAGGCCCAGGCCCAGACTACCCTCTCATTAGTGTTGAAGCGGGATGGCATCCATTTGCCATTAACATTATAGTTTTAAAATATCAGAAGTATTCGTCATTCTATAGAATGACTTTGTATTTACTTGAGGTTGATGACTATAGGCTAATTATTTATAAGTATTTCCCTCCCCCCTTTTTGTCGTACTGGGGGTTGAACTCAGGGCCTGGTGCTGGCAGGTACTCTACCACTTGAGTCATGTCCTCAGCCTGGATAGGGTCTTGCACGCCCTGGGCTATTTCACATAGCTGGGATGACACACACACATCACCTTGTCCAGCTTTATTAGCTGAGATGGGGATCTCATAAACTTTTTGCCTGGGCTGGCCTCGAACTATGATCTTCCTGATTTCCACTCCCAACATAGCTAAGATTATAGGTTTGAGTTACCTTGACTGGCGTATTTTCTTTTTGATGGAAATAAAAAGCACCTTGGTACATATTTCTTCTGAAGGAATGATAGAATAGCCTTGATGGCAGTGTAGGGTTGGCTCATCAGGGCACTGAGTTTGCTTCCTTATAGTTCAGAAGATTCTTGGTATCTGCACGTAAATATGGTTCTAAGGGGACTGCCATTGGAGGGAGTGGCAAATGCCCAGGATGTATAGGATTCTGTGCTGTGTTGTGGATGCCTGATGGATTTCCCATAATGCCTCCCAACTTCCACTAAAGACATGCCTCCTTTCAACAAATGTAAAGTTTTCACTTCATCACTTACATGAAGCATTTTAATATTTCCTTGTTTTTTGGGAGGCATATTTTCACAAAATTCAGGGCAGGAAAACACTGAGCAGATCACACAACAATTTAAACACAACTGATGATAATGTGGGACTGATTAAGATTTTCTCCATATCAAGTGAGCTGTGAAACGTGTTTGAGAATTTAAAAATTTTTGTTTTTGAAATTTTTTTTATTTATTAAGTTTTGACCATTCTTGTTCAAAACCATATACAATAAATCATTGAAAAGGCAGGCTTACTATATAGTTCAAAAAGAAGAAAATGTTTTCTGTTTCATTTTACAGGATTATTAAAAAATTACCTGTTCTTTGTAAAGGCTTCACACACTCATAAAAAAGAAATGGTAGCTTTGTAAAGCCTTTCCTTTGGTAAGTCATGGTCAACTAACATGTCCCTTTTCTCTGAAGGTGGAAGTTCTGCAGGGCCACCGTGTAGTAGACATTGCCTGTGGCAGTGGTGATGCCCAGACTCTCTGCCTCACTGATGACGACACTGTCTGGTCCTGGGGGGACGGGGACTATGGCAAGCTTGGCAGAGGAGGCAGTGATGGCTGCAAAGTGCCCATGAAGGTATTCCCTGTCTTCCCAATCTCAGTTATGCCATTATTATCCCCTCTGTGTGCTTCTCGGGTACATTTTACCTCATCTTTTGCCTTCTTTGTAGAAAGTATATTAGATAATTGGGTGAAAAGTGAGGGAAAGACTCAAGGCATTATATTTTAAGTGCTCTTTATGAAGAGCCTATGATTTTGTTTAGTATGTAGAACTGTTTGAGGATTAGGATAACAATTATGTCCTATCACTTCAGTGTATAGTAGTGTGTAGATGCCACATGTTATGAGATATACTAGAGCTTGCTGAAAGAATTGCTTCTAGGCAGACATCCTGTGACAGGCCACAAGAAGCCACATGTTGCTAAGAGCTGGTTTAGGGGTTTACTGCATTGCTTCTCATGAGCTGAATGACTAGGCAATTTCTTAACAATGCCAGACTGATTTTTGCCCTTGTAAATGAGTGGTTAGTAGAGGTTGAGGGAATCTATGTGCTTAGGTCATGTACACAGTTTAGATTCTACAGTCTGCAGTGTGGTATAGTTGAGGTTCTGTGCGTGGTCTTGGGAACATGAGTTCTGTGAATGGAAACTAGAACCTGTCTGTGCTCAGTGTCCTTCCTTGCTGAGCTTGGATAGTGCAGGTGCAGAACAGAGCCACATGGTGCACAGGCTTCCCTTGAGCTGATTCTAACCTCGTAGTATACGCTAGATGGGGTATACCTCAGATGGGGAAAGAGCCTGGTCCCAGTCACATAGTTTTTCTTCCTGCAGTGTGCTATCCAATACAGTATTTGTTGGTCATATGTTACTATTTAAGTTTAAATCAATTATAAGTAAATAAAATTCACTCCCTTGGTGCTAAATAACTAAATGTGGCTTAGGGCAGCTTTCTTTTCTACCACTTTTTGCCTTTGCCCCAATACAGGTATATGGTATTTAGCCACATTATGTGTTACAAAAGAGTTCTCCCATTTATGAAAAATGGTTTGTGGTAGACTTCCTTAAACTTAGGAAGGCTTTAGGAAAGGCTGTGCACCTTTAAGGATTAGGATCTGAACATGGGAAGGGCTGGAGGAGGATATTACCATCCGCCACTCTGACAAGGCTAGAGGCAGGGAGAGAGTAACTAGGAAAACGAATTTTTGATTCATTTAAGTTTAAAGTTCAATACGAGAATTTAAGCATGAGAATACTTACAGAAGAAAAAAGGAACAGGTTTTGTTGGGTAAGGAAAAGTGATGACCAGGTAAGTAGAGCCCATGGGACCCTGATGAGGAGGGTCTGGACCCTGGTGTGCAGGGGTGAGTGCAGGTCACAGGGCTGCCAACCAGGGTTGTTGATTAGCTTCAACATGGATAGATGGATAGGGGAAGGTACTCCTGGCCATTCCTCCCCTGTTGCCTGATGCTGCCTCCCTGTGGGCCTCTTAAGTCTCAGAGAGGGCTGGTAGCAGATGAGGACAAGCACAGGGCTTTTTGGAGAATGGTGCCCCACGTCAATCTTGGGGAGAGAAAATTGAAAAGTTCACCTATGAAATGTCCCCTTTCTGGTGAGATATGCTGGTCCTGTGCTCTGTGTCAGCATACCTGCTGCCAGTCAGATGCTCCTTCCTGCTTGCTCCTTGGCAGTGCTCTGGCTAAGTAGAATTTGATTTTATGCCGTAATAAATATTCTATACAGGTATGGACTTTCAGAATTCTTGTTAAATTCAGGTTAAATCTCAATGTGGTTGCAGCGGTCAGCAGTGATCTTGAATAGACTCTTTCTAATTGAACTTTTTCTCCTTTTAGATTGATTCTCTCACTGGCCTTGGAGTAGTTAAAGTAGAGTGTGGATCTCAGTTTTCTGTTGCCCTTACCAAATCTGGAGCTGTTTATACATGGTATGCAAGTTTCTGTTTGTTTCATCCCATCAAAACCAGATATTTAATTGGAACTGTTAAAAGCCTTTCATCAACTGGAATATAATGTCAGTAGCAGGCTGTGATTTGCATCCTGAAGTGTAGAGCTTGCACCAGGAGGGTTGCAAGGAAATGTGATAACCTTGAATTCCATGCTTTCTTTGTGTGTAGGGGCAAAGGTGACTATCACAGGCTGGGCCATGGATCTGATGACCATGTTCGGAGACCTCGGCAGGTCCAAGGGCTGCAGGGGAAGAAAGTCATTGCCATTGCCACTGGCTCCTTGCATTGTGTATGCTGCACAGAGGATGGTAGGTGGGAAGCCTGACATAGCAGACTGAGGTCTGTAAATCTAAGAAGGTTGCTCAGGGTAACACATGTTGCAGTGCCAGGGACTTACACTGTGTCCTGAGGGCCCATTTGTGGGGAGGTTTTGGCCTTGTCATCTTCAACCCCCTGGTATTATACTTCTGAATATGTTTTGTGACTAAGCAGGAAAGAGCTTACAATGGAGCAGGCCTGAGACACTGTCCTCAGACAGGCCTGCTTCAGGGTTGGTCCTTATCTGAGAACCTGGATCTTCAGAGGGCTCCCCACATTGTCCAGGTGATAAGGTGGCTTATCATGCCTGAAAGGTTTGTACAAACAGTGTGGTTCATGCTTTTCTCTGAGGTCTGGAGCTTGGTACATGCCAGGCAAAGAATCTGTCATCAATCCCCAGTGAAAATTCTGGGTATCCGGTATGTAACCACCTTCCCTGGTAGACAACACTTTACATGTGTCATCATAAGTTGGGGGAATTAAGTTCATTCTCTGTGGTTACTCTGGGAGAGGACTCTGGAAGCTTGCACCTGGATTTTCCTGGCCTTTGCCCCAGGTGTCTCTCTTGCTTAATTTTGCTTTGTGTCCTTTAACTGTAATAAATTGTAGCTGTGAAAGCAACTTTATTCTGATGCTTGCAAGTGAGTCTTAGAAGTGAATTGGAGAACCCTGACACAATAGTGAAAGTGACCTTCCAGTTGGAATAAAGGTTGCTAGTCAGCTGATTTGCAATGTGGAAATTATTCAGGGTTAGTATGTAGGCCCAGAGTAGTCACCTGGACCCTTTGAATTAGAAAAGGAGACAGAAGCTGGATGCCAGTGGCTCACATCTGTAATCCTAGCTATTTGGGAGACTGCTATTGGGAGGATTGTGGTTCGAGGCCAGCCCAGGCAAATAGTTTAAGAGACCCCCATCTCTATAATAACCAGAGAAAGATGGACTGGGAGGCATGGCTTAAGGGGTAGAGTGCCTGCCTAGGAGGTATGAAGTTCTGAGTTCAAATCCCAGTTCACCAAAAATTATTTAAACTGGTGCCCCAGCTTTTGTTACAACAATCATTTTCCAGAGTCTACTCCTTTTTAAAGGCTTTGGTGAACTGTATGAACATGTACTCTTTAATTCATTGATGGAATAGTTTCATATGGGAATTGAGTGAATTTTGGACCTTGTGGATGACATTATAGTTCTTGATCAAGAACCTTCAACACATTTTTTTCTGTGATTAATACATTTTGCTTTATTTAAATAATAATTTAAATTTGTATTTATTATATTATTGTTTTACTGGGGGTACACTGTGACATCTACAGAAGTGCTTACAATATATCTTAGTTAAATTCACCCTCAGTGAATTCTCCTTCATCTCCTTCCTCCTGTTCTTAGAACAGCTTCATACATGAGTACATGATATTTCCACCATATCCGCTCTTCTGCACTCTTTCCTTACATCTTCACCTCTCCCACTGGTACCAGCCTCCAGAACTGTTTTACCTTTTTGTCCTCTGTTTTCAGAAAATGACATACTTGTTTAAGTTAGCTATACAGCTGGGTGCTGGTGGCTCATGCCTGTAATCCTAGTTACTCAGAAGGCACAGATCAGGAGGGTTGCAGTTCAAATCCAGCTCAGGGCAAAATAGTTCACAAAATCCTATCTCGTAAAAACCCCAGTCAAATAATGCTATCTCGGAAAAAAAAAAAATCACACACAAAAAAGGGCTAGTGGAGTGGCTCAAGCATTAAGAGCACCTGTCTGTCAAGTGTGAGGCCCTGAATTCGAATCCCAGTGCAATCAAATTTTAAAAAGGTAGCTACACAGGCAGTTTTATTATGACATTACCATGTATATGTATATATTACATCCCAAACTGAATCATCCTCTCCTTTTTCTCTTTCTACCTTAGTTCCCTTCTTACGGTGATTTCAGTAGGTTTAAAAATTCTGTATTCATTCTTGTAAGTTGGAAGTACATAACAAAGAACTTTTCTGTATCTTGATCCATACCAGAATTAGTTGCTGTCCTGGTACTACTCCCCTGAAGATCTGAGTTCATATTCCCTACAGGCAGGGATACTTTGCTGTATAATCATAACACAGCTGTCCAGCCATGGAATTCACACTTGTCTTTATTCCACTTGATGCTTGCTGCTGTTCACAGTACACCACATATTATAGTGATTCTGTCACCTTCTTATCATCTCTATTCTGTGACACTTCCTCAATCAGCTCTTAGGTCATCCTGTGATGTTTCTTTGGACTTGCTGGGCTTTTTGGACCTTCACAATTTTTTTTTTTTTTTTTTGAGACATGGTCTTGTTAGATAGTTCAGGCTGGCCTCAAACTCCTGATCCTCCTGCCTCAACTTCCTGAGTGATGGGATTGCACCATATACCACCACCATGTCTATCTGACCTCACTTTTGAAGGCCAGTTATTTTGGTTTGTTTTAATTTTTTTTGTTACATTATTGTTGTACTGGGGATACACTGTGACATTTACAAAAGTTCTTACATTATAGTTAAACTCAGTGATTCTCCTTTATCCTCCCTCCCTCCATTCCTGGAATAGTTTCAACAGACCTCATTTTTCCACTTTCATACACGAGTATATAATAGTTCCACCATATTCATCCTTTTGTCTCCCCTCCCACGGGTACCAGTCTCCAGACAGGACTTGTTTTACCTTCCTGTTCTCTGTTTTTGAAAAAGATATTTTTGTTTGTTTAAGATAGCTATACAGGGAGTTTCATTGTGGCATTTCCATGTACATATGTAATATAACCTGAATTGGTTCATCCCCTGTATTTTTCTCCTTTCTACCTTATTCCACTTCTAATCGAAATTTCAACAGGTTTGAAAATTCTATATTCATTCTTGTATAGAGAGTACATCAACCATATTCACCTTTCAGGTCACTTATTTTGTAGGATGTTTTTACTTTGAATTTTCTGATCTTTCCTTAGTATATTAAAGTTGTATTTTTGATCTTCTTAATTCATTCTTTCAGGTGACTTGCAATTTCTCTTTGTCCATCACTGATGGTATTACTTTAATCACTTGATTAAGTTTGTATCTACCAGGCTTTCACTGTGAACGTGTTTTGTAATTACTAAGTATTTGGAAAGAACATTTGGGATCTACTTAAATACTCCTTTTTCTCAGTCAGTTTTTCATCTGCTCGTTTATGTATTTATGTCTAGTTGGACTCATGGTTTCCTGATTCATTCAGTGGGTGGTATGTCATCTGTTGCTAGTCACTTTAATACTCAAATTATGCCCTATTTGGTTGGCTTTAGTCTCCTGATGTCTCCCTGTCAGAAGTATACCTTTCCTCTGGCACAAAATATCCAGCTTTATTTTGTACTTTCTGTGTCCCAAGCCTAAAACTGACTGTTTTTCCCAGGAGCCCTGGTATCTTTGGAGGACAGTATTTAAAAGAGAAGGTCCAGGTGATGAGTATGTTCATTGCAATTAGAGTGTCACTACTCCCCAGGCATTGGTTAGTCAAACTTACACTTTGTTTATTTCTATATACATGTACATGTATGTTTAAAATCATAAGTTCACACCAGCATCCCCAGTTGTAGTTCAGTACCACGAGACTCATTCTAGTTTTCTCTCTTTCCACACTTATAACTCCTTCCTCTTTTGTTGATAAATCTGGACTCCCATTATCCCTCATATAATGGTTTGGACACTTCTCATTGTATAACCAGCATTCCATGGTTCCCTTTGCCCTCTTCTCTGTGTGGGTCTTTATCTCACTCTAGGCTGCCCACATGTAGATGTACTGGGCCACCCCCTTCGTGGAAGCCTCCTCACTTTCAGCCTTGATACCTTCCTATACCTGTTTGCAGCACTGTCCTCCTTTACCTTGCTTGTATTCAGACACCCAATGGCTTTAGGACTGAATTGTTCAGAGCAGGAAGGACCAGATCACAGTCATGGTGCTCTTAATCACTTGGGCAAAATACTTTTATACAGTAGTGCTTACTGTCTGCATAACACCCTCAGGAGGCTTTGTGGATTTGACAGAGCTATTGATGTCCCTAGAGAACATAAACCTCATTTCTATTCTAGTCATCAGTGACCTTACCCTTAGAATATTTTTATGGTAGTATTTCATGGTTGGGTCCAGCATAGATAAACTGAAAAGTATGATGATTCTCACATGATGACTGTTATGTCTAGGATAGGAAAAATTATGGAAAGAAGTCATGGATTTTGTTCATCTAACAACTGACTTTCCCTCCTCATTTAACATGCAAGAACCATATGGATGGTTAGGGATATTTCCATTTGTTTCTGTGTTACTTGTTCTGATTGAGAACTACTGCAGTTACATGCCTAGTCCTATGAACTAATACTGAATATTTAAGATTAGAGTCTTGTGACTCTCATGTTGTCTAGCAGGGGCTGTGGTGGGAGAGTCCTGGAAAGTACACTTACCTCTTTGGATGTGTGATTAGCGTGTGTTCATATCTAGATCATACGAGAAGTTAATGTTCAGAGAAGAAACCTCCACCAACACAGAAGGGTAGTGAATGTTGCCATTGTTATGGGAAGGCATTGGGAGTTGTGCATTTACCAGTCCTGATATACAAGTTCTTACTCTAAATGTACTTCATTTAGGTGAAGTTTATACATGGGGTGACAATGATGAGGGACAACTAGGAGATGGAACAACAAATGCCATTCAAAGGCCTCGGTTAGTAGCTGCCCTTCAGGGTAAGAAGGTCAACCGTGTGGCCTGTGGCTCAGCACACACCCTTGCCTGGTCGACCAGCAAGCCAGCTAGTGCTGGCAAGCTTCCTGCACAGGTCAGTGCTGGCTGGGCAGGTGGGATAAGGGGGTAGGGCAGTTACTGCCTATATATTCAATCATGCATGTACCCAGCCTCATTCTTCTGTTATATAATTATAGGATTATTTTATTGAATATAATTTAATTTGTAATGTTACACACCAGTACTTTAAGAACCTTAATTAGGTTCTTAAATTAGGCTGAGGGTATAGCTCAGTGGAAGAGCACTTGCCTAGCATGGCTCTGAATTCCATCTTCAGCACAGGAAAAAAAAAAAATAGAAACCTTAATGTTCATGTGAACTAACATTGTGTTGCCTTCTATGTCTTATAATCCACACAGAATTATTCTGATAGTGCATGTCCCACATTTTTCTTAGTAAATATATTTCTATAGACTAATTTTTTTTTTGCATTCTCTTTGGTTTGCATTATTTGGCTCAAACAGTCAAACTGACCAGAATATTATTCTAGAAACAAAACTCAGAAATCATAATGCTTCTGTTTTGGGGGGAAAAAAAAGCAATTTTTATTTTTCAGAATCTGTTAATAAACTGTGACTCTTCTGTGCCTTTGACACCTGAGTTGACTTAGCATGGTTTCAATGTTTCAGGTCCCCATGGAGTACAATCATTTGCAGGAGATCCCAATAATCGCCCTGAGGAACCGACTTCTGCTGCTGCATCATATCTCAGAGCTCTTCTGCCCCTGCATCCCCATGTTTGACTTGGAGGGCTCTCTGGACGAAACTGGGCTTGGGCCTTCTGTTGGGTTTGACACACTACGAGGGATCCTGATATCCCAGGGAAAGGTACTTTCATAGCAATCTGTGGCATAGATGGCACTGGAATCTTTGGTAAATTTTAACCCAACAAAAGTCCCTATACTCAAAATGTAGAATGTAGGATTCAGCTCATTCATCAAGTATTCATTGAGTATGTGCTATGCCAGCCTGTGTTAGGCACTTAAAATATATCAATTAAAAAAAAAAAAAAAACCAGACAAAATCCATTCCCATTTGGAGTTTGTATTAAAACTTCATAGTATAGTGTTGCATTTTTCCCTTACAATGTTTTCTTCTCACCTCTCCAAAAGGATGGATGAAACCACATGGGTCCAAAACTGAACCTCTGTTCACACAGTGGTTCTCTGTCTGGCCTTGAGCTTTGTGGCAAATCTCCATTGACATAGGAAGAAAGTAATTAAGTAATTTCTTCCCCCAGGGATGTCCAGCAGAGGGGGCTGAGAGTTGCAGATAGCTTAGATGGAAGCTCTGTGCCAGGATGTATAAGGTAGCCATTCCTTACAAAATGATTTTTTTGGGGAGGAAGGCGAGGGGATAACTGAAATTTGAACTTGGACCTTGCGTTTACTAGGCATGTGCGCTACCACTTGACCACGCCCCCAGATTTTTTTGGCTTTAGTTACTTTTCAGGTAAGGTCTAATGTTCCTGGCCTGTGGTCACTCTCAAACTGTGATACTCCTACCTACTGCCTCCTTTGGAGCTGGGATCACAAGTGCGTGCCAACATGCATGGCTTACTGATTGAGATGGGGTCTAACTAATTTTTTGCCTGGACTGGCCTTGAACTGCTGTCCTCCCAGTTTCTGCCTCTCCAATAGCTAGGATTTACAGATAGGAGCCACCATGGCCAGCTATTTGAAATGATAATTTAACAAGGGGGAAGGAGTAGAAGTGGAAATGGAGGCATCTGAAAGTCACCAGATAAGTGTGAAATGTCCGAATCAGAAGTTAAGGGGTTCCTATTATTGGAAGCTATGAAGTTTCTGCCGGGCAGCTTGAGGAGATGATCTAGAAGGGGCCCTTTATTGCATAATAGTGTTACAAACTAGCTGGTTGGAGTCCTTCTGCTCTCCCCAGATAGAAATTGTGGGTAGGTAAGAAGTGCCTTCAGTTATTCTGGACCCTTGCCAGATGTTTGCAAGCAGTGGCAGTGGATGACAATGGGTAGTGGCAGTTGGTCCTGGGCCTTTGACAGCTAGGGCTGTGACACAAGTTTCCATGCCTCAGGGTTAGGCCCAAGGCCCTTGGTAGCTAAGGCAGCAACATGGGGTACAAAGCCTCAGGGATTGAGCCTGAGGCCGGAGTTGTTGCAGCTCTTGTGCAATGTAACAAGCTCTTTTTGGCCAGGATCCAGGGTTGGAGGTGTCTCTCTGAGGCTGATCCCCATTGGCCAGTGTCAGTTTCACTTTCAGTCTTGTCTTCAGTGGCCCTAATTAGATGTAGAGACAAACCATGTTCCTGCCACTGTGGGTGACCACTGATGTTCCTGCTGCCACAGGAGGTCCCTGCTCTGCAGATCTTACTTCTACCACTGCGGCCCCAGTTTGTCTCTTTTCCTGTCAGCTCTGATCACTGTTGTTGGCACTGTCCCTAGGCAGCCTTGGCCACCTCTTCTGCTGCTGCTGCTGCTACCTCTGCTGTCACTTCTTTTCTTCTTTTCTTTATGTCACTAGTTCAACCAGTCTACTAGTGATGAGATCAAAAGATGCTGGGGGGGTGAGTGAAAACTGTAAGTCCAGCTACTTGAGAGGTGGAGATCAGGGAAGATCACAGTTCAAGAGCAACCGAGGAAAAAAGTTTAGTAAGACCCCACCTCAACCAATAAAGCTGGGTATTGTGGCAAATACCTGTCATTCCTGCTAGACTGGAAACATAAAGATGATCCTGCTGTCCAGGCTGGCATGGGCAAAAATGTAAAACCCAGTCTGAAAAATATCTAAGGCTGAAAGGACTGGGGATGTGGCTTAAGTAGTAGAGCACTTGCTTAGCAGGCATGAGGCCCTGAGTTCAAATCCTAGTACTGCTCCCCCCACCCCCAAAAGTAGACAAGATTACACAAGAGAAGTCTGTATTTGGAAGTAATATTGTAACACCAGAGGGGCAGGCATAGTGAGTTAAGCAGTCTGTTTATGTAGCCCGAAGTGGTTGGACAAGGGTTTCTGGACCAATCATGGTATAGTCCCTGACACCAGTCACCCAGCAAAAGTACTGGGCTACTTGGGGAAGGAAGTGCTCCCCTCTTTAGCCTTGGTGGAATAGTCTGGTGTGGTGCAACAGTCCAGAGCAGGCTACTTGTCAGTGCCTTCAGAGTTGTGCTTTAGGTTCAAAGTGGCCTGTCCTGGCTTGAGGGCAGTTCAGCCCCCTGGGTTGACAGCCTTCACTCAAGGTAGCTGGGGCCCTAAGTAAAGGTCTAGCAGCTGTTAATTAGGGATTTAAATCTCCCCAACCCCCAACCCCTCAGCACATTTTAAAGGAAAAAATAAACTTTCAAAAGGGTACTTAGAACAAAGGTTTTAACAGTATTTAGCATGCTCTACGTACTAGTGCCTGCCCCAGAGCCCCAGGGAGAGTTGGGTCCCTACCATGTGTTTCACTAGGGGGAATCTTTGTGTAAGCAAAAAAGTACAGCAAGTGAACTAAAAGTCTCCCTAATCCTGATGAGTCTTTTGATTGTATGACATAGGTTGTTATCAAAGAGTCTGACCTATTTTTAATGGTAAAAATAAAAATTTGATGTTTTGGAGTTCTGTCCAAGCAGGTTTTTTGTTGTTGTTATTGTTGTTTGTTTTTGTTTTTTTAGGGAAAGGAATTACTTATTTTGGCTCACAGCCTCAGAGGTTTCAAGTCCCTTATGGCATGGAGGGCATGGTGGGGCAGAGCCTCTTACAGTTGCCAAGGAAAGGCGAGAATACCTTCACTAGCTCCTGTTTCTTTTTTCCTCTCTTACTGTATCGGGCCCCCAGCCTGTGGGATGGTCCGCTACATTCAAGGCAGATCTGACCCTTTAATCCTCTCTGGAAACACCCTCAGACACACCCAGAGGTGTATTTTATTAATCTAGCTGCTTCTCAATCTAATTAGGTTGACAACCAAGATTAACCATCACAAGTCCAACCCTTCCTTCTCAGCTTGACACCCATCCTATTTCCTTAAACCATACATTTGACCCCAGGCCCCCAAAATCTTATTCCATCTCATAATACAAAATGCCTTCCAAGAGTCCTCATAGTCTTAACACTTCCAACATTGTGCAAAAGTCCAAGTTCAAAGTCTCCTCTGAGAGTCAGGGCAAACTCTTGGCTATGAGCTGGTATAAAAATCAAAAGAAAATTACATACCTTTTTTTTGGGAGTACTGGGGTTTGAACTTAGGTCCTACACCTTGAGCCACTCCACCAGCCCTATTTTTGTGATGGGTTTTTTTTCAAGATAGGGTCTCAGGAACTATTTGCCTGGTTCTGGCTTCAAACTGAGATCCTCCTCCTGATCTCTGCCTCCTGAGTAGCTAGGATTATAGACATGAGCCACCTGTGCCCAGCTGAAAATTACATGCTTCTAACATACAGTGGTAAGACAGAGTACATATTCCCATTCCAAAGGGAGAAATAGAAAGATAGCAGCTCGGAGTTGGCTAAAACCTGTCGGTGCAAACCTTAAATCCTATAGCTCTATGTCTGGCATCTGGAGCACATTGTGTGGCGATGTGAGCCCCAGAAGTCTTTCCATTTGTAGCCCACACTGCCTCTCTCTGGGGCTGGCTGGCTTCGCTAGCTTCCTGTAGCTTTTCAAATCGGTTATTACATTTTTTTAGGATGGGCTTTGTTTCCATCTGGATAGAACAATTTTTGCTGAACAAGATGGGTGCTTGCATTTTACTTTCTTGTGTGCCTGAGGGTGCTGAGTGAGAAGGACTGTGTTTAAGGTTAAAATCCTCTCTCAGTTGATGTGAGCAGGAAGAAACTATGCATAGGTAAAATTGGTATGGAACCTAATTTCAACTATTTTTCAGTAGTAAAAAATAGGGAACTTGATTACTTTCACCTTTATCTTGTTTTATCCCTCAAAGTGGGGGTGACAATAGGCAGTGAAGGAGAAAAAAAGCCCTTGCTTATAGGGAGAGAAAAAAGTAAGAGACAGGACACACCCTCTGTGGGACCATGTGTCTTTGCAGGCTGTAAGGAGCACTGAGCTGGGACCAGCTGAGGTAGAGGATGTTGAGGTAGAGGATGTTGAGGCAGCCTGGGCAGCAGTGTCCAGGCTCCAACACTGAGATAATAGTAGTAGTGGAGGGACACACTGAGAGTGTCTGAGGTGCCTCTCTGCCACTCCCTCTAGATCCCTTCCTACCTTGGATGCTCCCAGGAACTGTATATGGACCTTACTTTCTGCCCTCAGATGTTAGAATCTCAGGCTGTGATCTGGAAGAGGGGCTTAGGATCTATAGGAGGACCCCTGTGCTCCTGCAGTCCTCCTCTTCCTGTGCGATTGTGGAAGAGTGCATAGTCATCTACTTGGCAAAAAGAGTGGGGACCCTCCACTGTCCCTGCCTCCTTTGGGTGTCTCTTAAGTCCATTTCCTCCTCCTGTTGTCATAGCTGTGCTCTGCTCCTGTACCCTGTTCACGTTGATATGACTGCCTCTCTTAGGTGATGTCTGAGTCCTCACTGTGATACCTGTTCTGTCCTGGCTATCTTCACCCTGGGTACTCAAGTTTCTTTTAGTGCATACTCACATGTTCCTCTCCCTTGTCTGCCCTGTTCTCCACCCTAGCCTGACTAAATTCATGGAGTTCCTTGACTCACTGCTGCTCTGTAGTGCAGTTAGTGGTTTAACAACAGACCCTACTGCTCCTGGATTTGTGGCTGAGCAGGGAAGCCTCAACCTTTTAGACCTGAGAGCAGGTGTTCAGCAGGCCCCAGTGCTCCCATATTTAGCACTTCCTGAAGGACCTGCCTCCATCCTGCCATTGACCCAGCTTGTCCTGCTCTCCAGTCCTGAGCACAGCAGTGCCAGAGCACCCTCACAACACCTGAAAAAAAGAAGTTAGCAGACTTCTTAAAGAAGTATGACTTTTAGGAACAGAGGATTTTAAACAGAACAATGACATGACAATGACATGATTTCTCTAGGTGTGTTACTTTCTGTTGCAGATTCTAAATTTTGTGTGTTTGACATATTGTTAGGAGGCAGCTTTCCGAAAAGTAGTGCAAGCAACTATGGTGCGAGATCGTCAACATGGTCCTGTTGTGGAGCTGAACCGGATTCAGGTAACACGTGGAGATTGCTTGTTCAGTCTAACATCTTAGTAGTGATATTTTCATGGTGCAAGCCTTACAGCCTGTGGGGAAGAGAGTGCTTATAACTTGCCTTTGTGAGCTCAAACTTAAAGAGTAGGTGCCCTCTTGTTCTTTGGCTTCCTATGGGTGGTGGTCTATGATGCTGAAGTTTCTAAGTAGGCATGTAAATGTTTTTCTTTATAACAGAAGTAAGAAAGATTCATTTTAGATACCTCAAAAGTGCAAGTAAAGAGAAGCAAAAAGGGGAAAAATAAAAATCAACCACATTTCTACCACATAGCAATAACCACTACTGTCCCATCTGGCAGGCATATATGTTTGTTATAAGAAAAGCTGGATCACTGTCCTTTGTAACTTGCTGTTTTTTCCACTTAATGCAGCATATACATCTTTCATGCCATGGAGTTAGAGTTCTGTGGGACTATTTATGTTTGGCTGCAGCCTGCTGTTCTGCAGGGATATCCCCTAGTTTTCTCAGGGAGATCCTTCTGGTGGGGACTGGAAGGCTGTGCCCACATTTTTCTGATATAGTCAGAGGTGTCTACAGTATGTCTTTAGTTGCCACCTTAGGTTTAGTTCAGAGAAGTGAAGTGAGTCAAAAGCCCTGGGTGCCTACATCAAGTTACTGGCTGAGACAGTTCACATTTCTGCCAGCCTTGTACTCTCTCTGGCTCTGGGAGTTTTCTAATTTAATCAGCCAGAATAACTAATATGGTCTCTTAAGAAATGAAAAGTAGGCCATTTCTGAATTTATACTACTGCCAAGTATACATACACTTACAGTTTAAAATGTTTAATTAAAAATAAAGGAATCCTGGTCACTGATTATGACAGTGCATGGCACTTGACATTTACGCAAATGAAATTGGCCTTGCCTCTTGGATCAGAAACAGAGAGCCATGAAGAACAAATTCTTTGTTCCTGAAACCTTTGTATTAACACATGATTTTTACCCTAATGTTGATTACATGACTAGAAATTTTTTCAGAGTTGTACTTGGGGGCATTTTAAATTAAGACATCAAACTCTTGTCCTTTGTTGGACAGTACATGTGACCACTTTGGTGGAACTGGTCTCTCCATTGATGAACGTCAGTGTCTAATGTAAGTTGGTCAGCCAATTCCACAAATAAATGGACTGTTTAATCAGGTTCATAAAAAAGCTTTTATTTCCCTACCTTAGATGATCATTTTGGTTTGCTCTGCATCATTAGGGCCTATAATAAGTTAATGGCTGACACATCATCCAGTACATATGACTGCACATGGATCAGATACCTGCCTCAGAAAGACATACAGGCTCCTCAAGGTCAAGACTCTCACTTAGGTGTTCAGGGACGGAGGGCACAGTGAAGCCTTGACTGTCTGGAGCCCAAGGTAGCAGGTTAGGCATACTGCTTTTGTCTTTCATCTCAAATTTTCAAAAATGCCTCTTTCCTACTTGTCTTTTATTCCTAGCCTTGTGTTACAAAAATGTTCAATACATGTTGAAAAAAACTGAGTAAGAACTGGATAGATGGCAACAAATTTATAGTGGGCCCTTTACAAAGGCAGCCCAGTGTGCAATGTGGACTGATGTCTGAGGGCTGTTATGGCACAGCCACAGCCTCAGGAACCATAGTCAAGTGCCTGCAATTCAGGGCATTGTGCCCCTTCCCAAGGCTAGAATGTTCTCCACAAATATGGAAATAGAAGTGTTTTCAACCAAAATCATTATGCCAGGGGGAACATTTAGTGATTCCAAAGTGAACACAGGAGACAAGCACTGAGGTGAAATGGCTGTGGTGTTTCTGTCCTATCTGTCAGAAACTACTGTGGTGATGCTTCCTGGCACCAGCCCTTCTATAGGGATTGGTTTGGTGGGGACGACTCTCACACCTGCCCTTGGAAAGGACTCCAGGTCATTTTCCTAGAGGGCTTTTGTTTGTTGTGAATATGATTTAGTTTTCTACCAGGCAAATCTGAAAATCAGTGTCCATAAAAACGTATCAGATTACTTTTTTTAAAATCTATTTTTTTGAGACATGGTCTTGCTATGAAGCCCAGGCTGACCCAGAACTCACTGCTTATGACTCAGGCTGGCCTTGACCTCTTGATACTCCTGCCTAACCTCCTGAATACTGGGATTACAGGTGTGCACCTGTATACCAGGTTTAAATTACTTTCAAATTCATTACAGAATTAGTACATGATTATTTCAGAAAATGTAGGTATTCAGATTAAAGTCAGTTAAAAAAAAAAAAAAACCTATGTTCCTACTGACTAGAGAAAGTACCATCCATACATAGTTTTATCTCCTTTAAGTGTCATAGCTTTGTTTACATGACCATCATTTCCTATAGAAACAAAAGGCAGATGGGCTCCATTAGTTGGAGCGTCAGTAGACAGGAGGCAGTGCAGTGATTGAGAGGGGAAACAAGGTCTGCCTGTCACCACTTGTGTGGCGGCTGTGACATTGTGGGCACATTCCTTTGCCTTTCTGTGGCTCAGTCCCCTGTCAGGATAATGGATACCTTAGAGTTGCTGTGAGATTTAAAGGGAGTAGCTTTTGTGGACATTTAACTGAGGGTGTGGTACAGAGAAAAGTTGATTATATAGAAACTATTATTTCATTGTCATTTCTCTTACATTTTTAAACTTGATTGTGGTTATTTGTACCGTAAAGAGAATTAGCTGTTTAAGCTCAACCTCAGTGAGTCAGTGAGTTAAAAGATAGTGAGGATTTCACCAGAGGACTTAACATAAAAAATACATTCTTGTGAACAGTTTTCTTCAACTTTCCATGTTGGCATCATCTCAGACTGAACCTTCCAGGTGCTTCTGAAGCACAGCTTGGGCTGGAAATTATAGGAGGTACTGAGTCCACACGGATAGTAGTCTATTTGGAGGGCTGATTTTGGAGCTCCTGGCATTTTGTTCGTGGAGGTTTTGGTGATGTAGTGGGTGGCAGCGAAGGTTATAAAGTCATTAGGGTTATAAAGCATGAAGGATCTATACAAGTGCAGTGTTATCAGGTCGCAATTACTGACAACATGGCTGTCCCCAACTACGTGACAAGTAGTGATGGTGCATGTCATTGTTTGAAGGTGTGTTTATTCAGATGCCCCCAGTCCTAGGGTCACCAGTGACCTGCTGAATGTACTTTATACTGCTACACTTGTCTCATGCTTTTGTTTTTCCTCCTGTCTAGGTCAAGCGCTCCAGGAGTAAAGGCGGGTTAGCGGGCCCTGATGGCACTAAGTCTGTCTTTGGACAGATGTGTGCTAAGATGAGCTCCTTTAGTCCTGACAGCCTCCTCCTCCCTCACCGTGTGTGGAAAGTCAAGTTTGTAGGTGAGAACAAACTTGTTGAACTGGAACTTGTTCAAACTTGTTCCAGTTCATGGCCATGAACTGGAAAACCTGTGACCCTTGGGAGGCAGAGACTATGAACCCAGAGCCAGCAGGCAGAGTGGCACATGAGCACTTGCAGCAGGGAGCCAGAGCAGCCTGCCTGCCTGGGTGCTGTTCACACAGGTGGGGTTGAGTGGCCTACTACTATTGACTCTCCTTTCCCTCCAGGTGAATCTGTTGATGACTGTGGGGGTGGCTACAGCGAATCCATAGCTGAGATCTGTGAAGAGCTGCAGAACGGACTCACTCCCCTTCTGATCGTGACACCCAATGGGAGAGATGAGTCTGGGGCTAACAGAGACTGCTACCTGTTGAACCCAGCTGCCAGGGCACCTGTGCACTGCAGCATGTTCCGCTTCTTAGGTGGGCCCTTTCGGTTGTCTGTAACAGTGTATTATTAGGTTTATCCCCACCCTTAGTTTAGTGTTCACTCTGTCTTGGGAGTGATAATAGATGTTATAAATATCTTTTTGTAGCTTTTGAGACTTTACCAATGAAATAATTTCTATTTATTATGCATTTTGCCAGCATTCTGGAAGGGAACAAGGTACTATTGTTGACTCCACACCTACCATAGAGGGTTTGGTGGTGGTGATCTGTCAGAAACTGTGGCCAATCCATACATGTCTACAGGGATTTACAGAGCCAGGCTGTGTTCTAAGGGCTCGAAGCTGCCTTTGGCACTCAGAGAATGTGAATTACTATGTTTGCATTCTAAATGTATCTGAAACTCAGGATCAGATCAGGGGTAGCATTGGCAATGGGTCTGTCCCTCCCTCCTGTACTGTTAGGATCTGTGCAAAATGTTCCCAACCACAACATCTCACTGCTTCTCTCTGGAAAAACACCCACATCCTTGGAGAACTCCAGTTCTTTGCTTTGCCATCAAAAGAATAAGAATTGGCTTAGTGTGACTTAATCCTGTGTGTGGAAAGAATATGAAGTGAGACACTTGTCTTTCAGGAACAAAAAAAGATGAATTTGAAATAGGGCACATTGTTTTAAGGGTAGATCTAAATCTGTAAGTTTGGGTAATGCTGGTTTAGAAGGCACTGGGACCTTAGTGCAGAGCTGATGGCATGTTTGAATGAACAGGAAGCAGTTTATCATCCATTTTAAATATGTTCTTTCTCTGTGTTTTGAACGATCAGGAGTGTTACTGGGCATTGCCATTCGAACTGGGAGTCCCTTGAGCCTTAACCTGGCTGAGCCTGTGTGGAAGCAGTTGGCTGGGATGAGCCTCACCATTGCAGACCTCAGTGAGGTGACTCACCTGGGCTGTGTGGGGCATCATGGGGTCTTGTTAAGAGGCACAGTCTGTTTAGGGGTTCTAGCTTGACTCACACTTCTGGGTATGCTGAAGCTGCCTGCCTCTGACCACCTTCTTGTCACAAAGAAAGGTCTCTGGATATAAAGCCAGTTTTCTTCTATAACTTGATGGACCATCCACTTTGTGGTACTCTGCTGCAGGTGATAAGATCTTATCAGGTAAGGAGGCTTACTGTCTTTCCTGTACACAGCTGAGCTTGTGTGCAGCTAGGCATGCCTCAGGTGTGTGGGTGGCCACAAGAAGTTCCTCCTCATTCCTGCCCTGCCTTTTATCCCTTCATGGCTTAGGGAGGCACTCATTATCCATCAGTTAGTTATTTCTCAGCGGTTAAAAATTAAGAACTTTTGTTGAATTGAGTTCTTTCTTCAACTCCTTGGATAAAGTACTTTCCTGTAGCCATGCCAGCTTTTATTTTTTGGTACATGCAACACACTTGCATCCTGGAGAGACAGACAACCAAGGCTGCCATCTGTGATCGAGTGTGCTTGAGACAGACTGGAGTCTATGATATGGGAATAGCCTTGATAATGTGAACTTTTTTTTTTCCTCAAAAGGTTGATAAAGACTTTATTCCTGGGCTCATGTATATCCGTGACAATGAAGCCACCTCAGAGGAGTTTGAGGCCATGAGCTTGCCCTTTACAGTGCCAAGTGCTAGTGGCCAGGACATCCAGCTGAGCTCCAAACACACACACATCACCCTGGACAACCGTGCAGAGTATGTCCGACTGGCAATAAGTTACAGGTTCGTGGTTATTTGTCTTCAATTGCTTTGACTTAGTAAATAGCAAAAGTAGCAGAAAATAGTTGCTTGGATATCTACATATTTTTCAGAAGTATCAGATGTGGCAAAATGTGAATGGATTTGGCCCCAACTATTCCTTATCTGTGGTAGTGAAGCTTATTTTGTGACCAGTGGTCAGAGTATTCACTGTTCTCATCTGAGATTCCTGGGTCTTACTAGAATATTGAAATAAATACAGTCCACCTGTTCAGAGGGTGGCCATCAGGCCTGTTTGTGCCACTCTATACTTTCTTTGTCAGATCTTTAGACACAGCCATATCTAGGGTATGCATAACACGAAGCAGCCTCAACCAGGTCCAAGTGTGTGCACACCTTGGGCACCATAGCTCAGGTGGAGTATGGCAGGTCAGTGACACCTCTGCAGCTGTCACTGCTCAGCACTGCTGTCAGACACACTGTTGTCATATAGACCAGGCCCTGCATTATTGGGCGGCCTTCACTTGCTGGACTCTGGTCGCAGGTGGTAATGGTGAGTGTTGTGTCTGCCTTGGAACCTCAACTATAGTAGCAAAAACTTCGAGCATAGCATCTTCCCCAGAGTTGTGCTGTGCTGCAAGCCTGGAGCAGAGGGATGGGCTCTTTGCCCTCTGATTCTGCAATGTCTGATTCTGGGTATTTCTTGGGTTTCCTACAGTTGTTGAGAATTTTGAAGTTTGTGTAACTGTAGTCAGTCATTAGGTTTATGCTACATGCCAGACTAGGTGAACTCAGTGTCATGCAAAGCTGTATAGTACCAGGTTTGCAAAACACATGCATTTGGGTTTTTGTTGTTGTCTGTCTTTCTTCTCTTTTCTTTTTCTTTCTTTTCTTTTCTTTCTTCCTTATTGTTGTGCTAGGGGTACATTGTGGCATTTACAAAAGTTCTTACAATATATCAAATATATCATAACTGAATACACCCCTTCCACCATTTTCCTATATCTCCCCCCCCATTCCTGGAATAGTTTCAACAGGTCTCATTTTTCCATTTTCATACATGAAACACATGCATTTGTCACTCAGAGTTTCTCTTCTCAGTCTTTTGCCGTTGGGAATTGTGTACTGGCAGTGCTGTGTGGTAAGACTTGGTATTAGCAGAACAAGTCAACATTATCAAAGATGACAGTATAACATGAAATTTTTCTTTCAGACTCCATGAATTTGATGAGCAGGTGGCTGCTGTTCGGGAAGGGATGGCCCGAGTAGTGCCTGTCCCCCTTCTTTCTCTGTTCACTGGATATGAACTGGAGACGATGGTATGCAAGCTCCAGCATGGTGCTGTCCCTGAACTGCCTCTTGCACAGTGACCCACATGCCTGTGGGTGTTGAGTGAAGTGAAAACACACTCTTAAATGTGTGTCCCCTTTCCATCATTCCACATGAAGTTAAGATTCAGGGATGCACTCATGTCTATCTGGGGCCATTGGGACCTTTCCTCACCCCAAAACAAGCCTTAGTAGAGAGAAAAAGTGACAGGTTCTGCCAAAGCGATAAGTGTTGGAAGTGTCAGCCAGCCTCATAGTGTCTTTCTGCAGGTATGTGGCAGCCCAGATATCCCACTGCATCTTCTGAAGTCGGTGGCAACCTATAAAGGAATCGAACCCTCTGCCTCCTTAATCCAGTGGTTCTGGGAGGTGATGGAGTCTTTCTCCAACACAGAGCGCTCCCTCTTCCTTCGCTTTGTGTGGGGCCGGACAAGATTACCCAGGACCATTGCTGATTTCCGGGGTAGAGACTTTGTCATCCAGGTAGGCTCATGGAGCAGTGGGCTAACATCATCTGAGGTGATGTACCCCTTTCTCATGATCCCGCAACAGATTAAAAAAGCAGATTTTGTCTTTGCAGAAATGAAAATGGAAAATGCTCAACTTCTGTGATTTGAGGGGTCAAAATTTTATGATCATAGGTCTTGGGTACCATTATCTATTTTAATGTATGTGGCATCACCAGAACATACTGCTATTGTGTCAGTATAATCTAGATTTTGAACACACTTGTCATATAAAGCATGTTTGACTCTCTGGTTGAATACTGGTGAATCACTAAGTTCCACTGTGTTCTAATAACTGAGAAAAGTTAAGACCACACATCAGGTTGAGTTTTTCTTTGGGTTCTGACTCAGTGGTCCAGTGGTCAGAAAAAAGCTCAGTTTACCTTTTGGTCACTGAGATGGAAAGACCCAACACTTCCCTCTCTGTCCTGAGACCCTGACAGCAATAATCTTGTAGGATTAGGCCAGTTTGACAGCCCACTCTCCTGGATACCTGGAAGAATTCAGGGCTGGTTTTTTCCCTAGCAGAGCCTGATCAACACTTTTGGCCAGGGTTAGAAAAGGATCTGTCTTTCAGGGACACGTTTGAGAGCACATAGAGGTTTTTCTCTCAGAAAGGAAGCAATTCCTACATTTTGCCCATAGTTTTGCTGCTTCCTAATATCTTAATCTATAGAGACTGAAAGCGGGCTGATGGACTGATGGAAAGCTTCCCCAAGTGGGCAGGTGCAGTGCTTGAGCCCTCCTCTCTGCCGTAGGGCCTGTGACAGCCAGGTTGGGGTCCCATCTGTGCCAACAAGAGATGGGCACAGTCATTTCATTGAGCCCTTTTCATGGGATTGATGAGTAAAAAGGAATCGTCACCAAAATCAATTGACTAATTGCTATTTTTTACTGTAGGTCCTTTCTTATTTTTTTAAATTGGCTAGGCTTGATGTTTTCTGATATGTTGTTATTCATAGCCCAAAATATAACTTTTGTAAGAATCTAATGAACATAATAAAATGGAATTGTAATTTTACCTATCTTTATACATTATTTACTATTCTCCATCAATAGGTGCTGGACAAATACAACCCTCCTGACCACTTCCTTCCTGAATCCTACACTTGTTTCTTTTTGCTGAAGTTGCCCAGGTATTCCTGTAAACAGGTGCTTGAGGAGAAGCTGAAATATGCCATCCACTTTTGCAAATCCATAGACACAGATGATTATGCTCGCATAGCCCTTACAGGAGAACCAGCTGCTGATGACAGCAGTGATGACTCGGATAACGAGGATGCAGATTCATTTGCTTCAGATTCTACACAAGATTATCTAACAGGACACTAAGATGGAGAAATGGCATCAGGAAGCAAGAAGAGGCTGAGCAAACAGATGGAGTGCTGCTGTTTAGATTGCAGAATGTCTAGTGTGTTTGATGAGGAATATCAGTCCTTGAAATATGTGGGAGGGAGGTGGAGAGACTGACCACTCATGATTGGATTGGGAGGGATGACAGCAGGAAAATCAACCTGTGCACATTTAACACTATGTAGACACTTGACCTTCATTTTTGAGACTTGAAAGGGTCTTTCTTAACCTGTAATGCTGCATTACATATAGGACTCTGTGTTTACTAAAGTGTGTAAAGTTTATATAAATACTGAATTGCAGCATTCCAAAAATGAAGAAAGCCTTTTTACTTGTGGGTGCAATCGATTTTTTTCCCCTTTTTCTTTTTTTCCCTTACAAGTGTCGTGCATTATCTTGATTGTATATTGAAAATACTGTGTAACAATTAAATTGTATTATTAATAGTTCAACTAATTTTATTCTGAATTTGTTTATTAAAAGCTTTTTGAACATTAAATGATAAGTATTACTTGAATGCACCAGGAGGTTAGTTAAACCAAATGAAAAGCAAAAAGGCCATTTGGTTCTTCCCCTTTTCACCAGGGGTTCCACTTTAGCATATGCATTATGTAATTTGAGTTGAGGCCTTTCTGTGAACAGTATCATAATTTCTATCATGGAAAGTATACTATATATGTTTGTGTCATATATATATGCTGAAATTTTAATTCCCTATAAATAAAAATCTGCCACAAAACTGTAGGCTGAGCTTTCTTAACCAGTTAGTGTAGCACACATGGATATGCTGCACCCAAAAAATAACTAGTCTTTGATGCATCAATAGTTAAGTCATTACAGTCTTAGACTTTTTTTGGTTAAAAAACCAAACTCATTGATAAAGGAGTGATATTAGTATGATGGGACAGCTGGTGTCCATCATACTATAGAGGGAGCGAGGGGCCCAGGAGCCTTCAGGATCCCCTCCTTTGGCTTCCTCCCAAGCCCCAACCATTTCCACAGCCCAGGTTCCTGTTCCCTTTGGCCTGCATTAGGGGTATCCTTTGTGCAGTTGGCCATGGGGTAGGATTTGGGCTGCTTGTATGTGGCAAGCTCTCCCTAAAGGGAAGACTGGAGAACAGTGTAGAAAAGCTAACTGAGGGGCCTCATGTGCTAGAGCATCAGGTCAGAGGTACCTGATTGAGGCAAAACTGTATTTCTTGTTGGGAGACAATTACTGCGTATGTGTGTGTGTGCACGTGTGTGTCCTTTTTTATTGTTGGCCTATATTAAATCGTACATAGTAAGGGACTTCATTATGACATTTGCATACATGCATATAATGAACCCAAGGTCTTGTGCTTTCCAGGCAAGCACTCTGACACTTGAGCTATGCCCTCAGCTCTTTTGTTTGGAATTTTGTTTTTGAGACTCTTGCTAACTTTGCCCGGGTTGGGCTTGAACTTGCCATCCTTCTGCCTCTGCCTCCAAACAGCTGGAATTATAGGTGTATACCACCATGCCAGTCTCCTCTGGTCATCCTCCCCTTTTCCCTTTGCTTTCCGCTTCCCCAGTAGACCCACTTTTACATAATCACCTTTGTTTTGTATTGTTTTCCCTAGCTTCCGAAAATGTGATCCAAAAATGAGAGTATGTAATGCTTATCTTTGTGAAACTGGCTTGTTTCACTTAACTTGATGATCTCCAGTTATCCATTTTCCCAGTAAATGACATAATTTCATTCTTCTTAATAGAATAATACTCTGTTTTTATATGTACACATTTTTTTAATCCATTCATCCATTAATGGACACCTAGACTAATTACATAATTTGTCTGTTATGAGTAGTGCCACAATAAACCATGTATACATGTATCTCTGTAGTAAGCTGATTTTGATTCTTTTGAGTATATACCCAGAAGTAGTATGGTTGAATTATATAGGAGTTCTGTTTTTAATTTTTTGAGGAATCTTTGTACTGATTTCCATTGTTACTGGTTTAATTTACATTCCCACCAGCAGTGAATAAGAGTTCCTTTTTCCCCCTACATCCTCACCAGCATTAAAGTCTGTTATTTTGGAATTCTTGACTTTGAGAGGAGTCATGTTGCCTTGGTTTGTTTTGTTTTATTATTTCTTGAGTTTCTATATTGAGATTTGTACAGCTGAGACCAGGTCATTGGTTAGAAGTTTTAATCACCTGTATTCTTTTGACTGAAGTATTCTCAATGTTTAGGCAGAACTGGGTAGTAACAGGGTTGAGGCACAGTTACTCACCATTGGACTGGAGGTATTGCTTAGTAGCCAAACATTTGTCCCATATGCTCAGTGTACCAGGCCTTGATCCCCAGCACCACTCAGAACAAAACCAGCTGAGGTCTCATGTAGTTTCTGTTGTTCAGGCTGGTGCTGTATGTGTGGGCCGAGGGCTGGTTCTGTGAAGGGTTAGCTGTCAGCTTCAGGACAGTATTCATTTCAGAAGCTTCTCTTTTTGTACATGGAGCCACTGCTGTCTTCAAGCTTTACAGCCTGTGGATTGGGCTACCCCCCTCCCACCAGTATTTCCCCCAGGGGCAGCAAGTGCCCAAGCCTAGCAGTGTCTCTCAAATGTGTGTGAAAGTGGCTTGGAGCTCTGTTTCTACAGTGATTCAAAGGCAACGAGGCTTGCTCCTAGCCACAGAGGGCAAGGTCACCCACTACTTTACTCTTCACTGCCTGCTACTTAAACTTCTTAGTAGGTCTATATCAGACCCTACCCCACTCCACAACCACCTTTCATGGCCTGCTCCTGTACAGATGTTCTGGCAGGGTGTCCCCAAGCTCCCTGAGCGGTGATTCCTTATTTTCAGAAAACGGTAGGCCCCTCTCACGATGGCATCTGGCTGTAGCACTCTGAAATATGGGAAGTGCCAAAATGGTTTTCTTCTCCATTGCTAGCCTGCCACAAAGGAATAGTTTCTTTCACCACATTCCCCCACTGGATTTAAGGCTTCTGAGAACTGTGGCTTGTCCTGTGTCTAGGTCTGTCAGTCTATTGTCACCAGATTTGCCTTGCTTTCTCTGTGGTTGTGGTTTTGCTGGGGAGCCAGGATTGGAGCTGTGGACTTTTTTTTTTTTTTTTGCATCATTTTTTTTTTAGCTGTCCTGTGTTCTCTTTTGTGATTCCAGATGTTCTTCTCTCTGCAATGTAGTCTCTTCTTTATTCCTATCACTACTCATTCATGGAGTCAAACAGAGGAAGCTTCTAATTCACCATCTTGCCCTGCCACTCCCTACTTTTTTCTCCAAGACGGTTTCTATATTCAGGGATAGAATGCTCAGCACTTGCATAGAAGATCCAAAGAGGGGAAGTTGGTGATGTATTTTGTTGTTGTTGCTTGTTTCTTTTTTTTTTTTCTAGGAACTTATCCATGGTAAATGCCAGAATTAGTCTCATTTTCATCTTGGTTCAGAATTTCCATCAACTGCATTATATCTCTTTGTTATCAGTCAGCTTTTGCTGAATAAAAAATTTACTCCCAATGTCAGTGAAATACAAGAAGCAACATTCACTTCTTAAGTACCTGGCTTGATTGACCTTGGCTGGATGGCTCTGGACTGTGGGTGAAATGGGGTTCTGCCTCACACCCTGCTTTTCTGAGCTAGGATATGTCTCTTCATGGTGACAACCATGTATAGAAGGGCTCAGACTGCGTCTGTCACCTCTACCCACATTCTGTTAACCAAAGCCAGGGATATGTCCAAACCCAAATTAATGGGCTGGCAAATGCATTCTACCTCTAGAACAGTGGTTCTCAAAATATTACATGAAGAACCCTGGAATTCTCAAGTTTCTTCCAGTTTGTTCAAGAGGCCCACCCCTCCCCAACATGAGTCCAGATTTTCTTCTGCCTTCTGCCATAACGTGTCAAAACATGGAAAGCAGAAGCAGAAATGAGGATCCAGCTACCTTCTGCTAAACCAGATAGAGACCAATAAAGAAGTTAACGCCATTCTCACTATACTGTTTGTTTTGAAAGACAATTTTTCAAAGTAATCATGTTAACAAGTAATGGGTTTTTATTTTTAAATGTATAAAATATTTTAAGTTCTTTCCATTTTAATTTCCCATGCAGTAACTACTGATGGTTATAGCCCAGATAAAACGTATTAAGGGTCCCATAGAAGCTGTTAAGAGTCTTTAAGACAAACTGTTGCTCCAGAGAGAGACATGCAAAGCCATAGCTGAAGAACTCAGCCTCGGCCATGCAGGTGTGTGTGTATTTTGCATGCTTAGATATCAGATAAACGCATTTGCCTAAGACATACAGACATAATTTTATTTATTTTTCCTTTGTTTTTTTTTAAACTTCCTGTTGGAGGATTGTCTGTTTCCTTTTATGTTTACTGTTCTCCCATTAAAAAAAAAGGAAGCCAGGGGCGGTGTGTGGGGGGGTGCTTTGATTCTTAGTAACAGCTTCTTCATTTTTGCCCAAGAGGACTCTCTAGGACAATCACCTCTTAACTTCAATTTAACTTTTTACCCTCATCCAACTTATAAAGCCAAAAGTTTATTTTGGCAGATCCAAATTTTTGCAGCAGAACCTACTATGTAGAGAAGATGGGCTCATCTGCAGGAGGAGTAGAGCTCTTTAGTTATACCAATAAAGACTCCCATTGTGTTGGGAGGTTCCACCAGTATTTTGAATCGTGAATTAATTAGGTGGCTTGATTATTTTTCTACTGATGAAAGTACTAGTGGATATGCACTTAGAATGTGTATGGTCCTGTGGTCTGCTTAGACTTACAAGAAATATTGTGCCTGTAGTAGTCTGTTTTCTATTAACTATAACAAGATACCTGAGACTGAGTAACTTTATAAAGAAAAGAGGTTTAGCTTATAATCTCAGCACTCAGGAGCCTTAGCAAGACACAAGGCTAAGGCCAGGCTGGGCTATGTAGTGAAACCCTATCTCCAAAAAAGAAAGAGGTTTATTTAGCTCATATTTCTGGAGGTTCTAGGGCATGTTGCTGGTTTCAGCCCAGCCCTGGTGAGGACCTCAAGGCAGATGGCATTACAGTGGCAGGAACATATGCATGGGGACAGCTTACACCTCAAGACAGGAGCCAAGAGGCTGGGAAGTAGATGTGTTCTTTCATTAAAAACCCTGTTGAAAGAACTAATTCAGGTCCAGGTCGCAGAGAACAACCTTAATCTCTTCTAAGGGCAAGTCCTCATTGACCTAAGGACCTTCCACTAGACCCCACCTCTTAAAGTTCTCACCACCTCTGACCTCGCCACATTAAGGACCAAGTTCCTAGCACATGAACTCCTGGAGGACAAACCATAGCAGTGCTTAACACAGTGTTTACCCTTAGAATCCCTGACCAAAACTGGCCTTCTCTTCATAGATTGGCTGAGGGGCAATCTATGCCCCTCAATCTATGCCTCACTTCCTCCAAGACTTGCCCCTCAGGTCACCCTGCTCGTGTCCACAGCCTACATAGGCCTGGCCTGGCTCTGCAGTTTATCCATTTTGTGTGCTGAATGCTGCTTATCTGCCCAAGTAGGGTTTCCTCACATTAGTTCCAGCCCTGGGACCAGAGCAGTGTAGACAACTGCTGAGCAGCTCCTGGTGTGGAGCAGTGAGGAGTAGGTAGAGTTGGGTCTTAACCTGCTCATGATCCAAGACCTCAGAAGTAGTGGTTGGCCCTGTTGTTGGCTTTGAAAGGCATTTGGCATGCCATCTAGCAGACCCACTTCTGGAAGCTACCTCAACACCTACAGATGTATCTCCCTCAGGGGCTATTTAAGAAGGAGGACTGTAGTGGCAGTGTCTGGCCCACAGCCTGCTAACAAATAAGCAATATTGATAGGTGTGTTCAGTTTGAGTAGCAGAAAAGTTGCCCAGCCTTGTGGTCATGACTGGCTGCTGCAGTGTCTAAGAGCCACCTTCGGGTCTAATTAAAAGTCTAGGAATACCAGAGAGGGTTTCCCTAAGTCCTCTGCTGTAAGCTGTCTTGACTTGCAAAGCCTTTCAT